CCTGTTCTCACAATATCTAGAGCTTGAATATTTAAAGATATTGTGTCCAGAAAGTTATACTTCAAGTAAGAGTAATAAGCTCCTGGGAACCAAAAGTAAATTTTACTTTGTAGCTCTTGTGTGTCGGTGAACCTTTGAATGCTGTACACCGGCAGCAGCAGCAGCACCGCCAAGTACAATGTGCAGCTGTACACAGTACAGTGTACATGGTATGCACGAGGCCAGCCGGCTACACACCTTTCCACTGGTAACAATCATTACGAAGTGGCAGCTGTATTCCAACTAGCACCTCTACTCGACTGGCGCCAAGTGAAAACTGGTGCGATGCTTGTTACGCGGAGCACTGCTCGCACCTGCAAACTGACATCCTGGCGCCAGTTAGTGGCTACAAAAAGGGGATACGGTTCTATGGCTGAAGTATCGCTCATCCCAACTCACTTTCGCTATGAGGAGCTGATGTCTGTGAGTTACCAGATCACCAGCAAGAGGAAGGGCAACTTCAACTCAAGAACAACAACGTCACTCACTGCCAGCTACCGACCAGCAGTCCTTTCGCAGTTTCGACTCGTCATCTCTGTTCGTCCTGGCAACTGAACAAGTGCGCAACTTCTGTTCCGCAGGCTGTTGACTTTCAAGGTTGCTGCAGCTCCTGCCGGATTTCAAACTCGGTTGCTCCAGGAACAGCCGTCGCTTCTAGACTACAGCTCCGACTTGTCACGAACAGCAACGTGATGGTAAGGAGTCTAATGCCGTGACTGTTCGTAAGTTCGAGGAAAATCAGGGAAAAGTCCGAAGAAGAAATAGACTACCATAACACCACCAGGACTCTTGCAAATCGGGGACCCTACACAACGTCTTGTAGCTGCCATGGGTTCTGACCAGCAATGCCCTACCACTATGGGTTTTGACCAGCAATACCCTACCACTATGAGTTCTGACCAGCAATACCCTACCACTATGGGTTCTGACCAGCAATGCCCTACCACTATGGGTTTTGACCAGCAATACCCTACCACTATGGGTTTTGACCAGCAATACCCTACCACTATGGGTTCTGACCAGCAATGCCCTACCACTATGGGTTCTGACCAGCAATGCCCTACCACTATGGGTTTTGACCAGCAATGCCCTACCACTATGGGTTCTGACCAGCAATGCCCTACCACTATGGGTTCTGACCAGCAATGCCCTACCACTATGGGTTCTGACCAGCAATGCCCTACCACTATGGGTTCTGACCAGCAATGCCCTACCACTATGGGTTTTGACCAGCAATGCCCTACCACTATGGGTTTTGACCAGCAATGCCCTACCACTATGGGTTTTGACCAGCAATGCCCTACCACTATGGGTTTTGACCAGCAATGCCCTACCACTATGGGTTTTGACCAGCAATGCCCTACCACTATGGGTTTTGACCAGCAATGCCCTACCACTATGGGTTTTGACCAGCAATGCCCTACCACTATGGGTTTTGACCAGCAATGCCCTACCACTATGGGTTTTGACCAGCAATGCCCTACCACTATGGGTTCTGACCAGCAATGCCCTACCACTAAAGTATAGTATAGTGTAGTTAGTCGTCATTCCAGCAGAGACGGTAGAGGCGGTAGAGGCGGTAGAGGCGGTAGAGGCGGTAGAGGCGGTAGAGGCGGTAGAGGCGGTAGAGACGGTAGAGGCGGTAGAGACGGTAGAGACGGTAGAGACGGTAGAGACGGTAGAGACGGAAGAGACGGTAGAGACGGTAGAGACGGAAGAGATGGTAGAGACGATTTCATGGGTAAGCACTGTCCGTACTTCTCCTAACCATGATTTTCTCGGCTTACTTCTCTTTCCCCAAAGTGCTGCACACAATCATGTGAATACAGTCGCGTTTTATGTTGGCACGCATTGCTGTTATGTCGCTTCCTGATTCAATGGACTCAGGAGTGATGTGTACCCCCCCTCCCATCTCTCTCTGAATTTTAAATTTTGGTGGTCGGGTTCCGAATGGCTAGAACTTCCCTGTTGTTTTTCTGAGTTCAGCCATCAAGCCAAGAAGAAAAAAAACACTTGCTGAACTCTTACAATTCTCTCACGCACGCGTGTGCACACACACACCACACACACACACACACACACACACACACACACACACACACACACACACACACACACACACACACACCTTTGACCTTTGACCTTTGACCTTTGACGCCCCATCTCCAGTGGAGATGATAGGTCTCTGAGTTGGGCAGTACTTGATGTGACGCTTCAAATCGCCACTTCTCCTAAACGCTCTGCCGCATGCGCAATGAAAGTCCTTCGGTGCCGGGGAGGAAGACGATGTTGATGGACCCGCCTGCGCCATTCCGGGCGATCTTGTGCGAGCCGATATCACTCGGACTCCGGAATATCCAGCGAGCGCAGGTCACCGACAATCTTGTCTCGCCAACGCTTCTTTGGCCCATGCCGTGCCACACACACACACACACACACACACACACACACACACACACACACACACACACACACACACACACACACACACACACACACACACACACACACACACACACACACACACACACACACACACACACACACACACACACACACACACACACACACACACACACACACACACACACACACACACACACACACACACACACACACACACACACACACACACACACACACACACACACACACACACACACACACACACACACACACACACACACACACACACACACACTCACTCACTCACTCACTCACTCACTCACTCACTCACTCACTCACACTCACTCACTCACTCACTCACTCACTCACTCACTCACTCACTCACTCACTCACACTCACTCACTCACACTCACTCACTCACACTCACTCACTCACACACACACACACACACACACTCACACACACTCACACACACACACGTAGGCACACAGTTTGGAAAATGAGTTGATAGTGCATTGAAGCGAATGGCTAGCCTAGGGCACCATATCAAGCATAATTACGGTATGAAATTAGCCAGGAAACACTGTCCAAAGGACTAGATGGGCCTCATCCTACTGCTTTGTGCTTAGTGCATTGAAGCAAATGGCTAGCCTAGGGCACCATATAAAGCATAATTATTAATTACGGTATGAAATTAGCCAGGAAACACTATCCAAAGGATGGGCCTCATCCTGCTACCCCCCCCCCCCCCCCACCTACCACGCTGCATGCTTGTGGTGCATACCTCAACGATTGCTCACAATGGGGCACTTTTCGTAGTAGGATCTTCATCTCAGCGGTGTGTGGTAGATTTGGTTCTGCTCAGAAAGTAGTAATTGCAGGACTTCTAAAGGTCTGACAAGCCGAAATAGCTCAGTTGGGAGAGCGTCAGACTGAAGATCTGAAGGTCCCTGGTTCAATCCCGGGTTTCGGCATTACTTTTTTCTTTTTTTCCTCTTACTGTTCAAGAAGGTATTGCTGATCACTATCAGCAAGAGCAAATAAGCTCCCTCGCTTATTTACTCATGGTCTCAGCTGTTGGACAATATTCTGCAGTTGGGAGAACAGTTACTGTTACAGTATGAAAAATTAATTTTAAATTAAAAAAGACTATTTACCATCTTCATGCATCAGGACCCAATACACGTACCAGTTTCATAACCGCAATCAATAAAACTAGCTGAACCGACATTTGTGTACTTTATTCATGCAATGTAAAAACGGTGGAGACGATGTGCAATAAAACGATGAAAATATGAAGAAATGGTGTAGGGAAAAATATGGATTCAAACAAGTTTTCGTACAACACTCATCAGGATATCACGTTGTCTTTCCTTCCTTTCTCCTTTGTTCATTTCTCGCTTTGATTGTTAAAATTCACACTTGTAAATTTCACTGCTGTTGTTCTTAGTGTTATTTCTCTAACTTAGATTTTCTATAATACGGTTCAATTTTTGTTTCAGTGTCCTTTAGTACAACGACGATTCCTGATGAGTGTTGTACGAAAACTTGTTTGAATCCATATTTTTCCTACACCATTTCTTCATATTTTCATCGTTTTATTGCACATCGTCCGTCTCCACCGTTTTTACATTGCATGAACAAAGTACACAAATGTCGGTTCAGCTAGTTTTATTGATTGCGGTTATCAAATTATTGTCTCCTCGCCGTGTGTTTAAGTACCAGTTTCATGCATTCTTTATCAATTTCAAGTAGCAAGCTTGAACTAGCACAAATGTATTGCAGTATGGAGATCTCAAGTTTTTTGCTGGCACAGGGCCCAGCTGGCTCCACTACTGAGATTTAATGTTGCATCCCTTAGGTCACGGTTTATTCAAGTCGTTTCTCTCCCTTTGTGCATGGTATTTCTCCGCTCACCCTTGTGATGCCATTCATCCGTACGTTTCATTGGTTCTTGTAATATTTTGTAATATTGTATTTCACTTGATTGAAAATGCATGAACTGGTTTTGTGAAATAACTTCAAAAAATCTGTACCGCAGGCCTTTCCTTACCGAAAGGGTCTATACTGGCATGAAGTATTTCAAAACTCATGTGACCAAGAAATCACGCAGGACAGGGTCTTTTCACATAATACTCGGGTGCCCTACAAAGTGATTTCGGAATACATGTACTAGTATTATCAAGAGTCCATAACCCATGGACTCTTGGTATTATCAAGAGTGCATAAACAAGAGTATGCAACTGTGGTTATGGGTCAGTGCGCGCCTTCATTACGTAACTAAGTGTGTGTAGTGTTACTTGCCTTCATCACGCTCTGAAAGCATGCATCCAAACTCTCAATTTCTCGCACGAGCCCATCCGTTTTTGCTCGATTCGTTCCAGTACCTACACAATCTCTGAATTCTGGCGCGTGAACTCCAGTTCCGTACGAAAGTTCATTTCAAACTGGAGGGAAAGTGCGGTGTTTGATTTTCCGCAGTGCGCGGACTGCAGCTGAATGATGTAATGAAGGCAGCGCGCCGCGCATCTGGGATGATCTGGCAAAGTTGCATACTCTTGTTTATGGACTCTTGGTATTATGCATTTTTTTCTCCACAAATCTAAACCTCCAATCATTGTTTGTTTTTCTTTAGACTAGTGTGATGTATATTTGCAATGTGGAAAATTTTGATTGAGTGCAGGATGATTTTTACAAAAATAATCAATCGGGCATTGGCCAAAATCTGGCTATCAATTACTTCCTACTTGTACTAATACTCATTGTTGGCTGGTTTCATGAACGTTGAAGTTACTGGTACAACCCTTCCTTGGTCGCCCGTGGCAGGTCTATTCATTGGCCCTGATTCTGAAGTCTGAAGCAGTATCTGCGAGTCCATCATATCGGGTGGTTAACCGGGTTCCTGGCGTGTGTGCCCTGTGGAACAATGTCCGAAATACTAAATGCCACCCGGCATCCCGCTTTGGGGCCTGGCTGCAGGAACTAATATGAACAAAAGATATGAGGCCGGTTAATGTGAAATGTGAAAATAATATTAGTCCGGCTTGAAAAAATTGAACTGAGTAATGACAATAAGGCCGAACTGAGTAATGACAATAAGGCCGAACTGAGTAATGACAATAAGGCCAGGATAATGCTCAGAGTATAGGACTAGTTTTATGCCTTTAGAATTATTTTCTAAAGATTTCCCTTCCGTGCCCCAAGCTCTGCTAAGCTGGCTCTGAGGCTGGCATTCGTGGCCTTCAGTCGACTTACTTCCGTCTGATGGCTGTGCACCTGCAACAAAGGCAAACACAGAAGAAGACCGGCAAGTGAATGATAAAAGGAAATGGACATCTCCGTTAGCGCCAGTAGGCATGCCAAACTTAATGATAGCTTGCATAGAACTTGGTCCTACCGGCAGGACCGTCATACAGACATGCTGCACGGCCTCTGTTCTAAAATTCACCTAAAACCGGGCCCTAAACTGTTGCTATGGGGCTAATGGAGTCCACAAATTTTAGACGTGATCGGACAAGGCATATTACGAAATTCCATGGCAACAGCCTATGGTAACCATGGAAGCAGAGTATGGAATTTTGCATTCCACTGCCACGGAAGGCTAAGAAAGACATTAGGGCCTCCCCACGATCGATGTGCCATGGTCAAATTTCACTTTGGACGGAGTTGCTAGCGCTCCGACAGGAACATGTGCGGCTATTTTGACAGACTCCTATTAAGTTATCCTCAGTCTCAATCGTTTCTACTCACCAAGGTATCCTCTACTTACCAAGGTATCCTCTACTTACCAAGGTATCCTTTTCAGTTAGGTGGTCCTGAAGCAGAGCACTGTTACTGGCGAGGGACAGGTTCTCTTGCTGGCATTCTCGGTGTTGGACGTCGACTTTGGCCAGGCGCGTCCGTAAATCTCCAACCTCCATGTTAGCTATATCGTATAGGGACAATGATCCAAAAGAACAACATTGCAGTAAGATATCACGGGGGAGACTTGGCCAAAGGCCGAAGGACGAGTTCTCCGCATCCGCAGGAACGCCACCACCTTCTTGGATCAAGGCGCAGATGCAGCTCCTAAGCGGTGGGAGGCGAGTAGATCAGACCCACCACAAAGTGGTCAAAGACCGAAAATCCATGTTTCCCTTGTGCCAGGCCACGAGTTCCGAATTAACTGTAAGGTCTTGTAATAACTAGGAAAAATTGCAAAAATGTGGAAGTGGCAAATGCACCGGATTTTTCAGAATTCAATTCAGCCATCCGGCTTGCAACCCATACATCATGGAGGTATGTGCGATGCTGTGGACTGGATGCACCCTGTGTGTGCCGGTAAAGAAAGCATCACACCAGCATACTGATTGCATACTAGATTATGGCCATGTACAATGACCATACAAAAGCTACCAAGAAGTGGATCCATTTTCTGTACCAGTATTTCACAAAATCACTGCTACGCAATCGTGTTTGGTGTCCCTTTCAAAATACTAGTATTACCTGACACCACCGGCAACACCATTCTAGAATGCAACCTCCGCAACATCCACAACACACTGTCAGTCAGTATATGGGCATGAAGATAATTAGCTTAGATTACAGCATAAACATACCCTCTTCTAGTGTGTCCTCCATGTTCTTGATCTGCAGAACAGCAAAACAATGCGGCCACAGGTCATAATTTTGCATACGCTCGAATTCCACCGATCATATGATCTACATTAACGTCCCGTTAGCTTTATTAAAAGAGCAAATCAACCTACAGTAGTGGTGTACAGTTGGTACATCATACACTGCATGCACTCCTGTTATATTCCACGTGGCAAGGGGGGGGGGGGGGCAAAAGGTGGGAGGTGAGCACGCTCGACTCACAGTCATTGACACACATGCTCAAACCACACTCATCCCATGGCTCCCAGTGTGGCTTGAAGTCCCACTCTGCTCCCAACCAAGAATTGATCGTTCGGCTTAGTACCTTTCAAATGGACCAGTCTAATGCTCCTCCCTCCCCACGTGGGCAGTTGCGCAAATGTTTGCACATGCTGTGACAAGACTTTAGTAGTTTCTAGTGTCAGTTAAGAAAGTTCTTCTGAACACGGAATAGTTGTTCTCTTAGACTTTGGTTGACTTTTAGTTTTTGAAATTAGTGTTCAGTTGACGAACTTGTATAGCTAAGGGGCCGTCCAAGGTTACCAATAATATTTTCAAAACGAAATGTTTTCGTTTGTGGGTGGGTGGGTTTGATGGAGTTTCGTTTTGAAAATAATTATTGAATGCTGATGGAGAATGCCCAGTTACTTCTGGGTGTCGAAAATTGACATCAATATTTTATTGGAATTCGTTTTACCTGCAGTAAAGGTGGGTGGGTGGGTGGGGGCTGAAAAATACTAAAACTTTTCGTTTTGTAAAAACAATCGGTAACCCCGGACGGCGCCTAAGTCGGTGAAGGTGATGGCGCACCGCCCACTCAAGCGGCCAGGGAACCAACAAACTCTCCACGGATTTTTCGCGAAGCGAACTTGTGTTTGTCAGCTGCTCAGTCGAGCGATCCGTCTTTGGAGGAGAATTCGGACCACAGCGAAGATCCTGAGATCGAGGTCTGCTCGGACTCTAATCTTCCCCAAATGGAATCTGAAGTAGATTCTGACGACGATGCTAATGTATTTCCACTCCATTCTTACTGCTGGACATGGCCATCCAAGTAATCGTATATTTTATTATTTTGCCATTATCGTTCTCGATCTCAGCACGTCTTGAGCTTTGAAGCACTATCTTTACACAATTCAATGTAGTACGGCTATGTTCTACTACAGCCAGAGTCCTCAATGAAGTGATTGAAAAAATGGGAGAGAGTGCATGTGCTAAAATAGTAATTCTACATAACCCGCGCCCTCCCCTCAGCTGAACTCTGGATCCGCCGCTGCTCTCTTCTCTTCTCTTTTCTCTTCTCTTTTCTCTCTCTTCTCTCTCTCTCTTCTCTCTCTCTCTCTCTCTCTTCTCTCTCTCTCTCTCTCTCTCTCTCTCTCTCTCTCTCTCTCTCTCTCTCTCTCTCTCTCTCTTTCTCTCTCTCTTCTCCCTCTGCTCTCTAGAGAAATGGCTGGGAGGTCGAGGCCCTCACAGCGGAGGTGGAGGTTAGAGGAGCCATTTCCAGCAGCCTGGACAGTTTGGCACGAGTATTGGGCTGTTGTAAGGAAAAGCAGTGCCAATTAAGAAGAAACTGCAGAAACGCAGCACTAAATTCCAGCTACATTATCTGGCTGAGGGGACGAGAGAAGGCATGGCGTGACTGGCCACTGCCTCCTCAAACTGGAGTGTATGAAGAATGGCTGGGAAGTTGAGGCCCCACAGCGGAGGTGGGGGGCTAGAGGAGCTATTTCCAGCAGCCTGGACGGTTTGGCACGAGCATTGGGCTGTTGTAAGGAAAAGCAGCGCCAATTAACCCTTTGTCCTTTCGCCCATACTTGAACCGTACACCTGTGTACGGTTCAACCCACGCATGTTCAAAGCGACCTGGAAGCTACGCGGATCACCCGATCCACATAAAAATTCACGTGCACACAGCCTACGCTATGTAGAGGATGATACACGGGTCGCTGGGGCTAGAAAAAATTCAGGAAATCAAAGTCGAAGTTTGCTTGCGCCGTAACTTCCGACATGGCAGCACGCAGGTCGCTTGATGCAGATGAAGCGCTTGTTTTAGGATCGCTGGAGTGACCCAAGCGACAATCCTATGTCCTCTGATGAAGAGAACGAACTGGACGAAGCCTTAGTAGAAGGTGTTGATTCTGATTTTGATGACGACGCGGATTATGATGTCATAACCGTCGACCCAACTGTCGGACATGTCGACCACTCCGATTTGAGCGCAGGATCGGCAGAACAGCACTCGCGTGGTGAAGAGAGTGTACCACCGCCGTGTCTTACCCGTCGTGGAGCAGCAGGGTCAGCTAGAATGCCGCAGCACGTGGAGCGGGAGCGTAGTCCGATGCCAGAGAGGTCCAGATCTCCGTCACCTGCGCGCCGTCAAACTCTTGGTCGACAGCCGCTCAGAGCGAGGAGAGTAGCCGCACGGGGCCGCAATGTTGAGCATGTCGCCACTGGCACTCCTCTGGCTAATGCTCCGTGTTTGCCCAACATGCCAGGGGTGCTACTGCAGGTCATACTTGTACAAATTGCACATTATTATACATAGGAAAGAACTTGAACTTTTAATTTTGCCGATTTTTGCCAAAAATCATTTTTGATACTCTTGTTTGGCCACGCCTATCTGAGGAATTCAACCCAAACTGCATTTTTAGTTCACAATTATCATAAGCTTTCAGGAAAACATAAAGTGTACATACAAAATATCAGCTGCTTGGGAATGGTGAGTGGATTTGTTGAAGCATGTACCCCTCACATACATTTTGGGCAAAAGGACAAAGGGTTTTAAAAGAAGAAACTGCAGAAACGCAGCACTAAATTCCAGCTACGTTATCTGCCTGAGGCGACGAGAGAAGGCTTGGCGTGACTAGCCGCTGTTTTAAAAGTCCCGGCGAGGCAGTTTGTTGGCACTTGGTTGGCGGACAGCAACCCAGCGACGATAGTTGGATACCCTTCAAATCTTGGTTTTAACTCGCCACACCGGCTTCTAAAGGGCCGGGGTGGGTGTTCGCCAACCAAGTTGAGCCTTCGTTCGTTTTTTCTAGTCTACTTGCTTGTGCCATGCCGCGCTGGAGCCAGTCTATCTGCAGATACATTCGCCGCACAGAGCTACTATTGCACAAAGCCGCAGCGCTGTGCGCTGCTATTCGCTGTATGCTTTCACTGCACCTAGCTGCTGTTTAAACTGCACGACGCCACAACACAACTTCACTACAACAGTCTCGTTCACAACTTCACTACAATAGTCTCGTCCATATTGCACTACACTGAAAGCCGGCCTGCTCCCGCTCTGAAGAGCTTTTTAGCCTTCACCGTTTTCGCTCAAACCCAGGCATGGGCCCACAGTGGCAGTCGCTTCCTTTTTCTTTCCTTTTTTCTTTCTCCTTTTACTTTCTCCGACACTGCCTAAAAAACAGTTGAGACGGTTTTTTACCCACCAGTTTTTTTGTGCGAATTACTTTCCTCCCTCTCTTTCTCTGTCTCCCTCTTTCATTCTCCCTCTCCCTCTCCCTCTCTCTCTCTCTCTCTCTCTCTCTCTCTCTCTCTCTCTCTCTCTCTCTCCCTCACCTTGACTGCATAGCTCCTCACTGTGTCGTCCTGGTTGATTAGTCTCTGCTCCAAGACAGCCATGGCACTCTTCATCTCGTCTTTGTACTGGCGCAGCTCTACCAGCTCTCTGATAAGTGCATGCTTCTGCTGATCTCGATGCTCCAGCAGGCTATTCATCTGTCAGAATAACACAGCCATAACATTGCACACTCACAATTAGAGAGCTGGGCAACGTACAGCAAATACACAATTCGGCACTCAGCCTGATCATCAGTACACTGCCCTCACTGAAATGTACCAATACTAGAGTTGCACATTTGCCGGATTTGTTTATACCCCTATGCTCAGTTAACCAAACCTCCAATATCTAATACTTCACGGCTTATCTGTTGTTTTCTCACGAACACGTCACGGAGCCATCAAAGCAAAGGAAACCTGCGGATTTTAGCTGCACAAACGTCTGCAAGAGCAGTGTGTGACAGGAATGTCAAATGTCAGTCTCCAATGCAATACGTCTCACTCTGCAATACGTCTCACTCTGCAATACGTCTCACTCTGCAATACGTCTCACTCTGCAATACGTCTCACTCTGCAATACGTCTCACTCTGCAATACGTCTCACTCTGCAATACGTCTCACTCTGCAATACGTCTCACTCTGTAATATGGAACACGATTAATTATTATTAGTTACACTTTCAAGCTGGCTTCTAAGCTCCAAGGTTTCTGTCTGAAGCCGTGAATGGTCTTCAATAAGGCTACCGCAGGTAGAGTCAACCTGTTTGGTGGATGCAAGAGGCAAAGAAACAATACAATGGTCACACAATTTACTCAAGTTTGAATTAGGCTTCTCGTACCGCTTTTTTTTAGCACTACTCCAAGTAGGGGAAGTGTGTGTAACAGTGTTGATCCCTATATTATGGAGGCTTGCACCTGTCTGTCAACTCTGCTTGACACTTTGACTGGCTCGTGATTGCCATTCAGAGCACACAAGGGAGTGGGGCCTTCTTGCAGGTGTGTTAAGGGGAAGGTTCGACAAACTTCTCATATGCTCTGGATAGCAGCCATGCGTCAGTTTAGAAAGTGTCTAGTTGGCGGGAAAAGCCCGAGCTCCTGTGTGTGGAGCAACACACACACGCACACGCGCACACACACACACACACACACACACACACACACACACACACACACACACACACACACACACTTTCTCTCTCTCTCTCTCTCTCACGCTCACCCACCCACACACACTTTCTCTATTATCGCCGAAGTCGCCACCAGCATTACTCACTAGTTTACAAGAAACCATCTTACCCCGCATGAAGGCATCACCCCAGCACTGATGAAGAAACCATCTTACCCCGCATGAAGGCACCGCCCCAGCACTGGTGAAGAAACCATCTTACCCCGCATGAAGGCACCACCCCAGCACTGATGAAGAAACCATCTTACCCCGCATGAAGGCACCACCCCAGCACTGATGAAGAAACCATCTTACTGACATAAACTTATGCATGAAGCAACTTTCTTTGATGATCTAAAGGACCGGGCACAGTGCAACCCCACACCTGCATAGAGCACTGCATATTACTTACTGACATACAGGACAATAGTTACCTTTGCCTTAGCTGCAGTGATGCTATCCAGGGAGAGTTCAGCTTTGCTCAGCTTGGCTCGACTGCTCGAACTATCATCCTGCGGTGTTGTTACGTACATACACGCAGCAAAAACAAGTCGTTTGTACTTGTAATGGCACAGACACCCCCACATTACAGTTTCAATGCCCACGCAAGCACACGCGGACAGGCAGAGATAGCCGTTCTAGTTGCAGGGCACTTGATGTGTAGCGTGTTAACGACGGCAATGCTTGACTGCTACCTACGTTTTAAAATGACGGAAACAAAGGATCAAAAGTGGCACGATGGTGAATCTAATAGAAACTGTAGCCAGCGGTGTGTGTGTTTTAATGCGCAACTCACCTTACTTACGGCATTTAGATCTTTCTTGTCTCCCCAAAAACTCAATAATGCTTCGAAGTAATCAGCTATTTATAACCGAGGTTCACTTCACACCCAAGGTACATGAGATATGAACTTCCCACAGTCAGGATGCTACTTGTATCCCACACACACGTACCTTCATGGCTGTGTAATGAGACCTTTGGACACAGTCCCTGTGCTCGTCTTCACGCTGCCTGCCGGCCTCTACACGACACTCCAGCTCAGTGCATTTCTCTTTGAAGGTGGTAGCCCTGGCGTCGATGTCAGACACGCGAGAGTTGGCTTGATCCAGCTGAACAGGAAAACCAGCAGACACTTATATGCAATGTGACAGCATGACTGTATGCATGATCCACTGGCATGCTGCCATATTTAATAAGAAAAGTGCATGGCTGTACGTATTCTAACATTGTATGACAGCGACCATCTAGAATCTAGTGAAATCCATTGGAAGCTCAAATATACTAGATTCATGTCGCTGAGATAAGCTGCAATAGCTCTGTAGGGAGAGCGTTAGACTGTGCAGTGGTAGTTCAATCTTCTCCTTTGGGTTTCTTCACATAGCCATGCCAGCCGAAATAGCTCAGTTGGGAGAGCGTTAGACTGAAGATCTAAAGGTCCCTGGTTCAATCCCGGGTTTCGGCATTCCCTTTTATTATTATTATTTTTTTATTACTGTCTACAGTCCGTTTCAAAAAGATTTGCAATCCTGGCGATCGCCTGCGGAGTTTGGCGTCTTACCGTATGAGCACTCGAGCGCTGCCTGGAAAAACTCACTGTGAACTCGAAGAAATATTCCGCGCGAAAGCAGGAAAAATGGCAACTCACTCACATTGATACAGTCATGTGCGTCTGTCGTCTGGTTTACACAAACGAGTTCTTCCTCGTATCGATAATGGAGTCAGAGAGGACATGTATAATTATGTCGAAACGAAAGTGTTGTAAATGTTGACGAGCGGCATGGGTCCCAATTCGTTTTGTGACCAAAATAGTTTCTTTGAGCTGCGATGCAATTTACTCACCGTGTGACGAAACGACATCGACACGGACTCATTCCCATGGCCATGACTTGGCAAAGCTATCCGTGTGACTTCGACGACATTTTGAGAAAAGCAGACGCTTGTGAACGCTGATAGAAGACGGCGTTGACTGCTAAATTCGAATAAATTGGCGATCTTGAAATACTAGAATAAATCTCAAAAAGCTACAGCGCGATGACTTCCATGTTCACTCACACCATTGCAGTGTTGTGGGTGTGTTCACATGGCGTGAGCCAGTCAAGTGTCAGTCAGTTCGGCAGGAAGCGCGAGCTCCAACAACAACAAGTCGTTTGGTACAGCCATCATGCATGGCTTCTTTGTCTCGTACCAGCTTGACCACCAAAACAATGAAGAAAAAAGTTTGACTTGAGGATAGGTTGGGATTTGAACTCACAACTAACTTCATGGTCAGCAGACAGCATTCATAACCACAAGGCCAAAAAGGAAAGGATAAATCGTGGGTTTTGATAAAAAATCGATACTGGCTTCCTGGGCAAATTGTAAACCATGGGAAAAGGCCGGAAACCTGGCCGAAATTCTAACTCCTTAACGACTGATCCAATTGTTCCGAAACTTTCACAGAACAATTTGCCGTGTCCTAACAAGCCATTCTATGTACTTTGTTGTCCAAATTTCCCTTATCTTCATACTTTTTAAGACCCAAACCTGATTGTAAATCTTTTTGAAACAGACTATAGGGAGTTTCTGTTGCCATGTCTGTGGCTGGCAAACCATCTGCTTCCGGATTTTAGACAAACCAGCCAAAATGTCTCAGTTGGGAGAGCATTTAATTGTTTTGATTAAAAAAAAAGTGTCACAGCGACCATTGTGCGGCGGGAAAGGAAGACTCTCTCCGAAAAGCATGGCAAAACTGTGGCCACAGGCCTCAGGGCACTGATCGAGGGGAAAGGCAGGGAATTTTCTAGAACCGCCCCAACCGGTTTTCGACCGGTTGAAATTGTTGGCGACCGGTTGAAAAGTTACAAATCAGTTCCAACCGCCTGTACTTTTCTGTGGGTGAATGGAGCTGTGAATGGTCAAACGCTTTTTTTCTGGACGGATACTTCCAGCGAAGCCGCGTGGGCTGGTACTAGGGTCACGAGTTTGTACTCCAGCACCAAGAAATCTGTTAAATTGCTGTCGAGTGCCATATTTGGGTTGTACTTTGAAAATTAAAAGACCCCCCCCCCCACACTCTTCATTGGACCGTAACCGGTTGGAAATTCGTCCGAGAATATACCCAGGAAAGGGTACGGTCATATAGCCAAGTTTTTTTCTGTTTTCGTATTTTTCTGTTTGGCGCATATAAGCAGTGCTGAAACCGAGACCCCTGGTTGCTTTAGCTGCTCTTGCCCCGCCTCCACTGCTTCGGCTGCCATCGCTATGTGCATCTCCGTGCGTTTTTGCCGGCGTTTGCACCATGATGGTTTGTGGTTATCTTGTAAAAAAAAGAAAAGAAAAAAAGTGCACATGTGCGTAGATCGACTTTATAAGTTGTACGAGGGCACAGCAGGCTGCACACAGTGCATTCAAGCATGCACTCATGCATGGTGAACATGAAAAATATAGTAGAAAATGAAGTACAAATGACAGTCCTCCGGCTCAGTAGAGTGCTCAATATTCATTCGAATAGAGCTATCGTACACACGTCACAGAGCACCACGCATCATTCGTTGTACAAGTAACTATTAGTTTCATGCCCATTGGCAATTTCAGACAACTGACGTGTGTACAAAATGAACTACAAAGTCAGGAATAGATTTCATTTTTGAGTTTCGAGCCGGAAATGACATGGCAATACACAGGACTAACAGGGCACTCACGCTGCAGCCACAGCCACGTTTAAACAGGAATATTTTAGGTTCTGGCACGACATCTGAACTGCGAAATTGGAAAGCATAATTGCGATCAACAGCTGGCATTTGGCCGTGAATCATCAGCCAGTTGTACTTTGCCACGGCTTGGGTTTCTTGTTCGCAGCCATAACAATACTTTGCCAGACGTGAGCTGGATTCAATCGTGCATCAAGTAAACAGTCTAATAGAGATGTGTTGAAACGACAGCCAGTCGCAGTGACCCGGATGAGATTGGGCGATGATAATGTGAATGCCCACAAGAGGAAACTGACCACAACTGTGAATGGCCACCCACGGTTGCTTAGCAATCTGAACGTTTCCTTTTGTCAAGTGACCGCTGGTTATCCTGTAACCGTAAATCCTCCATTAGATTGAAGATCCAAAAACAGTCTCTGGTCAGTCAATCCCGGATTTCGGCATTCCTTATTTTCGGTTCAGGGAGGTTTTGTGGCCATGTCAGTGGCAGGTCAATATTCTGCTTCAGGTATCTAGCTACGTGTACCTGTAGTCATGCTAGCCGAAATAGCTCAGTTGGGAGAGCGTTAGACTGAAGATCTAAAGGTCCCTGGTTCAATCCCGGGTTTCGGCATTTCTTTTTTTTTCTTCAACGAAACAAAAATATAGACCAACACCACCATCAAGAGCTATCCGGAGCAGAGAAACAGCCAGAAGAAAAGCAAATTTTACACATTTGTTAAAAAATGCCAAATGTTAAAAAAAGCTAAATCACCTCGTACTACTTACTGTAGTACCGTAAAGTACCGCTGGAGTTGAGTTGCACACTCTTGGGGGTTATGTACTCTTGGTACTACCGGTACTACCGGTAGTACCAACCTTTAAAATAGCGTAGACAGTACTGGTGTGGTGCTCACCTGCTGTTGCAGTGTTTGGCATTTCTTGTTTGCATTGTCCAGGCGCCGCTTTCTTGTCAGCATGGTCTGCTGAAGGTGTTCTTCATGCTGTCGGAGTTTCTTCATGTCACTGACGTGTTGCTTGGTCTCCCTCTGAGCCGTAGCAACGTCTTCCATGAGGCTGTGGCGGTCTTTCGTGATGGTGGCTGCAGAAGAAACCAGACAACAGTGTATCTATTAGGCCTGGTGGAAATGTGAAGCAAAATCCCAAGTTTAATTAAGTACTCCGGTTTTCTCTAATCAAATATGAGCAGTCTTGTGTCCTTCACTCCACGAAAACCGCTTCCCAAACTCGCACCAGGCTCTACATGCCCCGATTTCACAGATGACAATGCTGAGTTGTCATTTTCCACAGTTGATCGATTGCTGCTGCTAGATCACTTGGTCTCCCTCTACTGCTATACCAATACGCCTCAGACACACGCGGCCTGCACACAAATATCTACTCCCTGCACACTCTGAGACTGCTAGCCATGATTTGCCGCAGTAAATACCTGTACCCGGTATAATGTATTAACTAGTTCTCTGATCCACACAGAGTTCTCTTGCCTTCCAAAAAGCCAAGCAAATAATCGAATTCATCAACGAGGGATCATCAACGGTGAAAAAGGAAGGAACATTTGGCGTAACAGTGTCACCAATGTGACTCGCTGCGATGTCAATGCTAAGCAAAACTCCAGCAATGTGACTCGCTACGATGTCAATGCTAAGCAAAACTCCAGCAATGTGACTCGCTACGATGTCAATGCTAAGCAAAACTCCAGCAATGTGACTCCCTACGATGTCAATGCTAAGCAAAACTCCAGCAATGTGACTCGCTACGATGTCAATGCTAAGCAAAACTCCAGCAATGTGACTCGCTACGATGTCAATGCTAAGCAAAACTCCAGAAATGTGACTCGCTACGATGTCAATGCTAAGCAAAACTCCAGCAATGTGACTCGCTACGATGTCAATGCTAAGCAAAACTCCAGAAATGTGACTCGCTACGATGTCAATGCTAAGCAAAACTCCAGCAATGTGACTCGCTACGATGTCAATGCTAAGCAAAACTCCAGCAATGTGACTCGCTACGATGTCAATGCTAAGCAAAACTCCAGAAATGTGACTCGCTACGATGTCAATGCTAAGCAAAACTCCAGCAATGTGACTCGCTACGATGTCAATGCTAAGCAAAACTCCAGAAATGTGACTCGCTACGATGTCAATGCTAAGCAAAACTCCAGCAATGTGACTCGCTACGATGTCAATGCTAAGCAAAACTCCAGCAGTGTGACTCGCTACGATGTCAATACTAAGCAAAACTCCAGCAATGTGACTCGCTACGATGTCAATGCTAAGCAAAACGCCAGCAATGTGACTCGCTACGATGTCAATGCTAAGCAAAACTCCAGCAATGTGACTCGCTACGATGACAATGCTAAGCAAAACTCCAGCATTGTGACTCGCTACGATGTCAATGCTAAGCAAAACTCCAGCAATGTGACTCTCTACGATGTCAATGCTAAGCAAAACTCCAGAAATGTGACTCGCTACGATGTCAATGCTAAGCAAAACTCCAGAAATGTGACTCGCTACGATGTCAATGCTAAGCAAAACTCCAGCAATGTGACTCGCTACGATGTCAAAGCTAAGCAAAACTCCAGCAATGTGACTCGCTACGATGTCAATGCTAAGCAAAACTCCAGCAATGTGACTCGCTACGATGTCAATGCTAAGCAAAACTCCAGCAATGTGACTCGCTACGATGTCAATGCTAAGCAAAACTCCAGCAATGTGACTCGCTACGATGTCAATGCTAAGCAAAACTCCAGAAATGTGACTCGCTACGATGTCAATGCTAAGCAAAACTCCAGCAATGTGACTCGCTACGATGTCAATGCTAAGCAAAACTCCAGCAGTGTGACTCACTACGATGTCAATGCTAAGCAAAACTCCAGCAATGTGACTCGCTACGATGTCAATGCTAAGCAAAACTCCAGCAATGTGACTCGCTACGATGTCAATGCTAAGCAAAACTCCAGCAATGTGACTCGCTACGATGTCAATGCTAAGCAAAACTCCAGCAATGTGACTCGCTACGATGTCAATGCTAAGCAAAACTCCAGAAATGTGACTCGCTACGATGTCAATGCTAAGCAAAACTCCAGCAATGTGACTCGCTACGATGTCAATGCTAAGCAAAACTCCAGCAATGTGACTCGCTACGATGTCAATGCTAAGCAAAACGCCAGCAATGTGACTCGCTACGATGTCAATGCTAAGCAAAACTCCAGAAATGTGACTCGCTACGATGTCAATGCTAAGCAAAACTCCAGCAATGTGACTCGCTACGATGTCAATGCTAAGCAAAACTCCAGCAATGTGACTCGCTACGATGTCAATGCTAAGCAAAACTCCAGAAATGTGACTCGCTACGATGTCAATGCTAAGCAAAACTCCAGCAATGTGACTCGCTACGATGTCAATGCTAAGCAAAACTCCAGCAGTGTGACTCGCTACGATGTCAATGCTAAGCAAAACTCCAGCAATGTGACTCACTACGATGTCAATGCTAAGCAAACTCCAGCAATGTGACTCGCTACGATGTCAATGCTAAGCAAAACTCCAGCAATGTGACTCGCTACGATGTCAATGCAAAGCAAAACTCCAGCAATGTGACTCGCTACGATGTCAATGCTAAGCAAAACTCCAGCAATGTGACTCGCTACGATGTCAATGCTAAGCAAAACTCCAGTAATGTGACTCGCTACGATGTCAATGCTAAGCAAAACTCCAGCAATGTGACTCGCTACGATGTCAATGCTAAGCAAAACTCCAGCAATGTGACTCGCTACGATGTCAATGCTAAGCAAAACTCCAGCAATGTGACTCGCTACGATGTCAATGCTAAGCAAAACTCCAGAAATGTGACTCGCTACGATGTCAATGCTAAGCAAAACTCCAGCAATGTGACTCGCTACGATGTCAATGCTAAGCAAAACTCCAGCAGTGTGACTCGCTACGATGTCAATGCTAAGCAAAACTCCAGCAATGTGACTCACTACGATGTCAATGCTAAGCAAACTCCAGCAATGTGACTCGCTACGATGTCAATGCTAAGCAAAACTCCAGCAATGTGACTCGCTACGATGTCAATGCAAAGCAAAACTCCAGCAATGTGACTCGCTACGATGTCAATGCTAAGCAAAACTCCAGCAATGTGACTCGCTACGATGTCAATGCTAAGCAAAACTCCAGTAATGTGACTCGCTACGATGTCAATGCTAAGCAAAACTCCAGCAATGTGACTCGCTACGATGTCAATGCTAAGCAAAACTCCAGCAATGACGTGACTCGCTACGATGTCAATGCTAAGCAAAACTCCAGCAATGTGACTCGCTACGATGTCAATGCTAAGCAAACTCCAGCAATGTGACGCGCTACGATGTCAATGCTAAGCAAAACTCCAGCAATGTGACTCGCTACGATGTCAATGCAAAGCAAAACTCCAGCAATGTGACTCGCTACGATGTCAATGCTAAGCAAAACTCCAGCAATGTGACTCGCTACGATGTCAATGCTAAGCAAAACTCCAGCAATGTGACTCGCTACGATGTCAATGCTAAGCAAAACTCCAGCAATGTGACTCGCTACGATGTCAATGCTAAGCAAAACTCCAGCAATGACGTGACTCGCTACGATGTCAATGCTAAGCAAAACTCCAGCAATGTGACTCGCTACGATGTCAATGCTAAGCAAAACTCCAGCAATGTGACTCGCTACGATGTCAATGCTAAGCAAAACTCCAGCAATGTGACTCGCTACGATGTCAATGCTAAGCAAAACTCCAGCAATGACGTGACTCGCTACGATGTCAATGCTAAGCAAAACTCCAGCAATGTGACTCGCTACGATGTCAATGCTAAGCAAAACTCCAGAAATGTGACTCGCTACGATGTCAATGCTAAGCAAAACTCCAGCAATGTGACTCGCTACGATGTCAATGCTAAGCAAAACTCCAGAAATGTGACTCGCTACGATGTCAATGCTAAGCAAAACTCCAGCAATGTGACTCGCTACGATGTCAATGCTAAGCAAAACTCCAGCAATGTGACTCGCTACGATGTCAATGCTAAGCAAAACTCCAGAAATGTGACTCGCTACGATGTCAATGCTAAGCAAAACTCCAGCAATGTGACTCGCTACGATGTCAATGCTAAGCAAAACTCCAGAAATGTGACTCGCTACGATGTCAATGCTAAGCAAAACTCCAGCAATGTGACTCGCTACGATGTCAATGCTAAGCAAAACTCCAGCAGTGTGACTCGCTACGATGTCAATACTAAGCAAAACTCCAGCAATGTGACTCGCTACGATGTCAATGCTAAGCAAAACGCCAGCAATGTGACTCGCTACGATGTCAATGCTAAGCAAAACTCCAGCAATGTGACTCGCTACGATGACAATGCTAAGCAAAACTCCAGCATTGTGACTCGCTACGATGTCAATGCTAAGCAAAACTCCAGCAATGTGACTCTCTACGATGTCAATGCTAAGCAAAACTCCAGAAATGTGACTCGCTACGATGTCAATGCTAAGCAAAACTCCAGAAATGTGACTCGCTACGATGTCAATGCTAAGCAAAACTCCAGCAATGTGACTCGCTACGATGTCAAAGCTAAGCAAAACTCCAGCAATGTGACTCGCTACGATGTCAATGCTAAGCAAAACTCCAGCAATGTGACTCGCTACGATGTCAATGCTAAGCAAAACTCCAGCAATGTGACTCGCTACGATGTCAATGCTAAGCAAAACTCCAGCAATGTGACTCGCTACGATGTCAATGCTAAGCAAAACTCCAGAAATGTGACTCGCTACGATGTCAATGCTAAGCAAAACTCCAGCAATGTGACTCGCTACGATGTCAATGCTAAGCAAAACTCCAGCAGTGTGACTCACTACGATGTCAATGCTAAGCAAAACTCCAGCAATGTGACTCGCTACGATGTCAATGCTAAGCAAAACTCCAGCAATGTGACTCGCTACGATGTCAATGCTAAGCAAAACTCCAGCAATGTGACTCGCTACGATGTCAATGCTAAGCAAAACTCCAGCAATGTGACTCGCTACGATGTCAATGCTAAGCAAAACTCCAGAAATGTGACTCGCTACGATGTCAATGCTAAGCAAAACTCCAGCAATGTGACTCGCTACGATGTCAATGCTAAGCAAAACTCCAGCAATGTGACTCGCTACGATGTCAATGCTAAGCAAAACGCCAGCAATGTGACTCGCTACGATGTCAATGCTAAGCAAAACTCCAGAAATGTGACTCGCTACGATGTCAATGCTAAGCAAAACTCCAGCAATGTGACTCGCTACGATGTCAATGCTAAGCAAAACTCCAGCAATGTGACTCGCTACGATGTCAATGCTAAGCAAAACTCCAGAAATGTGACTCGCTACGATGTCAATGCTAAGCAAAACTCCAGCAATGTGACTCGCTACGATGTCAATGCTAAGCAAAACTCCAGCAGTGTGACTCGCTACGATGTCAATGCTAAGCAAAACTCCAGCAATGTGACTCACTACGATGTCAATGCTAAGCAAACTCCAGCAATGTGACTCGCTACGATGTCAATGCTAAGCAAAACTCCAGCAATGTGACTCGCTACGATGTCAATGCAAAGCAAAACTCCAGCAATGTGACTCGCTACGATGTCAATGCTAAGCAAAACTCCAGCAATGTGACTCGCTACGATGTCAATGCTAAGCAAAACTCCAGTAATGTGACTCGCTACGATGTCAATGCTAAGCAAAACTCCAGCAATGTGACTCGCTACGATGTCAATGCTAAGCAAAACTCCAGCAATGACGTGACTCGCTACGATGTCAATGCTAAGCAAAACTCCAGCAATGTGACTCGCTACGATGTCAATGCTAAGCAAACTCCAGCAATGTGACGCGCTACGATGTCAATGCTAAGCAAAACTCCAGCAATGTGACTCGCTACGATGTCAATGCAAAGCAAAACTCCAGCAATGTGACTCGCTACGATGTCAATGCTAAGCAAAACTCCAGCAATGTGACTCGCTACGATGTCAATGCTAAGCAAAACTCCAGCAATGTGACTCGCTACGATGTCAATGCTAAGCAAAACTCCAGCAATGTGACTCGCTACGATGTCAATGCTAAGCAAAACTCCAGCAATGACGTGACTCGCTACGATGTCAATGCTAAGCAAAACTCCAGCAATGTGACTCGCTACGATGTCAATGCTAAGCAAAACTCCAGCAATGTGACTCGCTACGATGTCAATGCTAAGCAAAACTCCAGCAATGTGACTCGCTACGATGTCAATGCTAAGCAAAACTCCAGCAATGACGTGACTCGCTACGATGTCAATGCTAAGCAAAACTCCAGCAATGTGACTCGCTACGATGTCAATGCTAAGCAAAACTCCAGAAATGTGACTCGCTACGATGTCAATGCTAAGCAAAACTCCAGCAATGTGACTCGCTACGATGTCAATGCTAAGCAAAACTCCAGCAATGTGACTCGCTACGATGTCAATGCAAAGCAAAACTCCAGCAATGTGACTCGCTACGATGTCAATGCTAAGCAAAACTCCAGCAATGTGACTCGCTACGATGTCAATGCTAAGCAAAACTCCAGAAATGTGACTCGCTACGATGTCAATGCTAAGCAAAACTCCAGCAATGTGACTCGCTACGATGTCAATGCTAAGCAAAACTGCAGCAATGTGACTCGCTACGATGTCAATGCTAAGCAAAACGCCAGCAATGTGACTCGCTACGATGTCAATGCTAAGCAAAACTCCAGAAATGTGACTCGCTACGATGTCAATGCTAAGCAAAACTCCAGCAATGTGACTCGCTACGATGTCAATGCTAAGCAAAACTCCAGTAATGTGACTCGCTACGATGTCAATGCTAAGCAAAACTCCAGAAATGTGACTCGCTACGATGTCAATGCTAAGCAAAACTCCAGCAATGTGACTCGCTACGATGTCAATGCTAAGCAAAACTCCAGCAGTGTGACTCGCTACGATGTCAATGCTAAGCAAAACTCCAGCAATGTGACTCACTACGATGTCAATGCTAAGCAAACTCCAGCAATGTGACTCGCTACGATGTCAATGCTAAGCAAAACTCCAGCAATGTGACTCGCTACGATGTCAATGCAAAGCAAAACTCCAGCAATGTGACTCGCTACGATGTCAATGCTAAGCAAAACTCCAGCAATGTGACTCGCTACGATGTCAATGCTAAGCAAAACTCCAGCAATGTGACTCGCTACGATGTCAATGCTAAGCAAAACTCCAGCAATGTGACTCGCTACGATGTCAATGCAAAGCAAAACTCCAGCAATGACGTGACTCGCTACGATGTCAATGCTAAGCAAAACTCCAGCAATGTGACTCGCTACGATGTCAATGCTAAGCAAAACTCCAGCAATGTGACTCGCTACGATGTCAATGCTAAGCAAAACTCCAGCAATGTGACTCGCTACGATGTCAATGCTAAGCAAAACTCCAGCAATGACGTGACTCGCTACGATGTCAATGCTAAGCAAAACTCCAGCAATGTGACTCGCTACGATGTCAATGCTAAGCAAAACTCCAGCAATGTGACTCGCTACGATGTCAATGCTAAGCAAAACTCCAGCAATGTGACTCGCTACGATGTCAATGCTAAGCAAAACTCCAGCAATGTGACTCGCTACGATGTCAATGCTAAGCAAAACTCCAGCAATGACGTGACTCGCTACGATGTCAATGCTAAGCAAAACTCCAGCAATGTGACTCGCTACGATGTCAATGCTAAGCAAAACTCCAGCAATGTGACTCGCTACGATGTCAATGCTAAGCAAAACTCCAGCAATGTGACTCGCTACGATGTCAATGCTAAGCAAAACTCCAGCAATGACGTGACTCGCTACGATGTCAATGCTAAGCAAAACTCCAGCAATGTGACTCGCTGCGATGTCAATGCTAAGCAAAACTCCAGCAATGTGACTCGCTACGATGTCAATGCTAAGCAAAACTCCAGCAATGTGACTCGCTACGATGTCAATGCTAAGCAAAACTCCAGCAATGTGACTCGCTGCGATGTCAATGCCAAGCAAAACTCCAGCAATGTGACTCGCTACGATGTCAATGCTAAGCAAAACTCCAGCACTGAACACCTACATGTGTGCGCATGAAATATTGCACCGTGGCGTTGCCAGATGATCATGAAGGACGTGAAACTCTTCAATTGCAACGATTTTTACCCTCTTCTTGCTTCTTATAATTGTGTGTATAAAGTGCATTATTATCATACCTTCAAGTGCCTTGACATGTTCTCGAAGCTGTTGCCTTTCTGCATCCACCTTCTGCAAGAAATCATCCTTTCGCCTCAGGTCATTCTGCAAGTTGGCTATCTGTGTGTGGAACTCCTATGACCGGATGATAAAATAGGATACAGAAAAACACTACAGTATTTAAAAGTGCTACGGCTATAGCATATACTACGGCTATAGCATATACTTGCCAGTGCTACGGCTATAGCATACACTTGCCAGTGCTACGGCTATAGCATATGCTACGGCTATAGCATATACTACGGCTATAGCATACACTACGGCTATAGAATACACTACGGCTATAGAATACACTACGGCTATAGCATACACTACGGCTATAGCATACACTACGGCTATAGCATACACTTGCCAGTGCTACGGCTATAGCATACACTACGGCTATAGCATACACTTGCCAGTGCTACGGCTATAGCATACACTTGCCAGTGCTACGGCTATAGCATACACTTGCCTCTTTGCATTGGATATAAAGTACATTGTTTGAAGACCCTGCATGTCCCTTTCCAAGTCATTCAACCCTGGGTCTTAACGGTACCTTACCTAGGGTATTTGTAAAACCTGGGAGTCACCGGTGCTGTACCGGTGCTGTACTGGAGTTTCACTCTACGGCATGTTCACCATGACCATGTTTGCCGCAAGTAGCAGACGACAAAGAGAGGAAACTAACACAGCTCGTTGCAAAAGTCCCCCGGATGTTAGTCACTGAATAGATTGTGTGTGTGTGTGTGTGTGTGTGTGTGTATGCGGACGGGATTTTGCACGGAAAGGAGACATGGCTCGGCATAAGTGTCTGGAGGAGCGTGCGCGGCCTGTGTCTGAGCAGCGGGGCGCCAGTCAGTGCGGGCGGTGTGGGCGGTGGCTGAGAAGCCGCGGTGGCTTGGTCCGGCATGTGTGTGCCTCAACGGTGGATGCCGCAGTGCCACCTGGAACTACCGGAGCGTCGGCACCGGCGGAGGGATGTTGTGCCGCGCATTGTGACAGGTGTGGTCGCTGCTTTCGCGGTGTCCGGGGACGGGGAAGGCATCGCTGTTCAAGGGTGGCTCATAGACCAACAGCAGCGGAGCGCTCAGCCTTCCAGCACGTGTGCATATGCGGCAAGCGGATGCGACTACCCGTGCACCTGGAGCGTCATCGAGCGTCGTGTCCTCTCTCTCTCTCTTCTCAAGTTTCCCAATGATGGGATCACGTGACCCTTTTGCGGCAGTGACTCTACAGGACAGGACAGGACAGGTGTGTGTGTGTATGTGTGTGTGTGTGTATGTGTGTATGTGTGTGTGTTTGTTGGTTGCAGGGTTCATATACCGTAAAGTCGCGGATAAAAGCCGGGCTTATAAGCATATAAGCCGCTTTCTGCATCAGGCTTTAATGCAAACCAGGCTTGTATGCAAACCATGCTTATATGCACCACTGATATTTTTGCCAGGCCTGTATGCACGTTTCTACGCGCGCACGCGTAGATCTACCACTGACTACCGGTACGGCGGCAGTTTTACTATGCATCGTACATAGCGCATGCACTCTTGACCTACCCGATCCGCGCTTGCATGGAAGCCAGGCTTCTACACGCGACAGGCTTATATGCATTTGACCCGTTTGATTTTCAGGCTTCTATCCGCGATGTGCTTGTATGCAAACCCGGCTTTTATCCGCGACTTTACGGTACTTTATATTTGAAGTATACATACCTGTTGACCATGGACTGCTTCTGGCTAGATTAACTCTTGTGTAATCAATGGTGCTAGTGAAACTTATATCAGATCCATGCTGATTTAGCCACCCACACTAGTACCAAGTATTACCCTCACTGGGGGCAGGGGTAACTGCAGTTGGATCCCAGGACGGATACCCTGATGCCGTCAATCCTTTTTCTGCACCTTGTCCTCATCCACTTACTGAGGTGTGGTGAGCCCGTAAGTGGGATCATTTGCAAGTCCACCCATAGGTTTGGGGATTTCAGGGGGTGTCGGCCGTTGGGCGGTTCAATAGCCAGTTGAGTCATCTTTCCAGGATTCTTTTTGAGTTCCTCTCTCCCCTCTCCCGGGGAGACCCACCTGAGCAATACAAGTGAAAACATCAACAGACAAGTGGTGTGGGACTTTTAAAAAGATGTCCGACTGCTATGCACTGATAACTATTACTTACCTCCTGTAGCAAGGACGCTTTGCTAGCTGTCTTCTTCTCGGCCTTCTCCACAGCATTGCTGGCATTATCTAGACACAACCGAGTGAGAGGCGCATGCAGAACAGAGACTTCATTCTGTTGTAAGTATTCCCCTGTAAACACTACCAACTTAGTCATGCCAAACTACGGCTGAGGAATATCTTATCAGTACGATGTTGATGATGAGTACCATGAAGGGAGAACAGGAATACACATAGGGTCAAAATACAGTGCTCCTTTTGTGAGGTTCTCTAGCTAATACTTGGTACAATGTTACTGAACTTGGGGCAAGGGGAGTTCCTAGTGATTCCAACACGTCTGTTCAAAAGGACACTCATTGCTGACAGCACGTTTAGATGGTCTTGCTGCACTGGTGACTTTCCCTGAAAGTTGATGACAATGACCCAAGTGCACACCAAGTATTCCGACAAATGTGCATGGTAAAGCCTTCCAATCAACAAGTCCAAGAAATATGCCTGCTACAGGGTAAATAAGTCTGAAAATGGTTCACAGTCTTTAATAATGAAGATTTGACTGATGGCGCCGTGCTTGTCCCCAAGTGCTGAAGTCCACAGGTTTTGCCTGATATTTAGCACCGACACTACTTGCTGATCATGACTATCACCATACTGAGGCATAGAAACGTATCCATCACAAATACCACCAATTCGGACAAGTGCAATGGTCACACAGTCACTTGTACAAGTCACGGTTCAGGGTGACATTTCATTCGCACTGGCCAATCTTGGAAAGGATAAACATGTAGTTCTTGCACATCAGTTGTGGGAAGACTGAGGCCGAAGAAAATAGCACCCGCTTTAGTTGAAACACCAGTCCCGACTGGCACACACTACAGTGGTCCATGTTTCTCTGGCAATGCTCAATATTTGTAACACCCTTGCGCAAACAACATGATAACCTATTTGCGCAGCAGGTACAACTAATATGCTGACAGCTGAAGCCGGGAAATGGTGCATCACACAAATCAGGTTTTTTACATCTTCCTCGCCCGATCAAGTGCCTGCAGTGGAGACTTCACGCCCCTTGGACAGATTGTCACATCATGTGATAAGCATTCGACTATTGAGTGTAGATCCTTCTTGATTACGAATGCATTCAGTGCTACATGACATTGTGTACAGCGTTACACGCAAGAGCACAAGTTGTACGTGTAACTGTATAAATTCCCTAGTTGTACTGCACTACATGTATCACAAAGCAGCACCGACTACTTGCCAGTCTCTAGTGTTACCTTTGGTACACCTTTATCCTAGTGATACCAGCAGAGAACGGGTTTATTCAAGTGATACTAGTACCGTAAAATCCCGACAGAGCGCCCCGTCTCTCCCATCCGCCCCGTCTCTCCCATCCGCCCCGTCTCTCCCATCCGCCCCGTCTCTCCCATCCGCCCCGTCTCTCCCATCCGCCCCGTCTCTCCCATCCGCCCCGTCTCTCCCATCCGCCCCGTCTCTCCCATCCGCCCCGTCTCTCCCATCCGCCCCGTCTCTCCCATCCGCCCCTCCCTGACTTCTTGTCAGGGACGTGATAATGATTGTATCCTCGTATGACTCTGTCGCAGTCTGTGATGCCGTACTGAACTGCAGACGCGTGCTCGACCCCGTTGGAAATGTACGCAACAGTGCCCACCGGTGCACCCTCCTGACCATGGATCGCACAAACCCTGCGTTTTGTCGGGTCTGTTCGACCCCTAGCCCTGGCTCTTGACCTTTGGTTGGTGTACGAGATGCACGTACAGTTTTCGTAGGGTGAGTACTTTTTCATGTAGCACTGAATGCGGCAAGTAGGACTCGCCCATCCGCCCCTCCCCACCTGAAGCGTTGAGGAGGTTGGGGCGCTCTGGCGGGATTTTACGGTAGCCGTGGCCAACAAGAGAGAGAAGTACCGCTGTATACTAGAAACGTCATATATGGGCGTGCCTGTTGTATTACTTGCACAATACCTGCAACCGTAGCTAATGCCAAGTTTGACACTGGGTCCGCACCATTGATCTCCAGCTCCAGCTCCAGTACATACACACATTTTACCTACGCCTCTTCCCTCTTTTATACCTTATGTCTTCGCAACCTCATTATTGGGAAGAAACTCCTGTTTGGATTTGCGACAAAACAAAAGTAATCATCAACATCATCGAATGTGTGCCACGCTGACTGCAGAGTTTCTACTGTAAAACCGGAAATTTTCGGTGGAGATCTATTTTTGGTAACTTCGGTACAGGAAAATTTTAGCTAAAATAAAATGCGACCTAAAATTCAACCATGCCATGCCACACAGTGTGAAAATGCATCTTTGGATCTGGTTTACCAAAATTTTCACTCTACCGAACCGTTGATTTTGGGAAATACCGAAAATATTACACCACCGAAAATTCCCGGTTAGGCGAGACCAAAAAAAATAGAGATTCCCGGGCCCTCCCGCACCAAAATCGAGCCAAAGCCAATTTTTTTTTAACAGTTCATACATGACTGTACATGTACAGTACTGATCGTGTGAGTAGATCTGTGACGTGGAGTCACACAAACCCGAGCTTGTACGACTCCCTGATGAACAGATCAGGGACATCGTTGGCCGAAATATAGAAAAACTGAACGGGGAAAACCGCATACCTGTTGTCTGTAAAAAAAATTGAATAAAAATTACTGGAAAATGCGGTAAAAAAAGTTCAACATGGTATGCACACATATATTCATGTACATACATGGGAAAAAATAAAAAATAAAATTCGCCCGCCCGCACCAATTTCACATGGGTCCTGCCCGGGAATCTCGATTTTATTTTGGTCTCGCCTTATATAGTACTTGGTATGTTAATCGGAGAGGGTTAGAGCCTCGGGCAGGGTACAATACGGGTTGGGACATGCGCAGATTGATGCTGTCATGAGCGGACAGGCTTTTCTCTTGTGAACGACTATGTGCCTAGTTCCTGCAAGCAATGACCAGGTGGTGGCAGGTGTTTGTAGTGATTGCATTCGGAGTACACGGGATAGACTCGGTGCACTAGGAGTGGGTGGTCTGGAGGGTAAAGGTGCGCCGCTGCTTCAAGTCTCGCGCTGATGCAGCCTGTCTCGGTACAAACCTTTTGGAACCTTCATCATGAATATTATGTGAAACAATTTTCAGCTCTGGCTAGTCCAGAGCATGCGCAGACCGTCAGGTGTGTACTCCTGTACAGGTAACCGTTAGGTATATACCCCTAATCAAACTCACCGTGTGCTTTCTGTGCTTGTTGTCTCCTGTATAGTGAACATCGATGGTGTTGATGTTGTTGATGTTGACCAGCTAAGGACTTACTCAGAGTACATTGTGAAGTCTGTTCACCTACACCACAAGACAGCCGTCACTCCTGCAGGACAATGCACTTTAAGTATGGTACATTTATGCGCTGCGCAGCATTGTTCTAGAAGAGGATACAGATAGTTACTTTCCAGTTCCAGGAAGTATATTTGCTGCTGAAGATTACGAATGTACTCGTCCTCGAGGTGCTGCACGCTGCTATCCGCCTTCCCTGGAGGTGATCCGTCTACTTGATCTCGTTTTGGTAGCCGCGTAGTCACAGTAGGCCTTCAACAAAATATACAGATACAAGCAAGGGCAAAGCGGAAGTTTGGACTCAAACAAAAAAAGAACTTAGAACTTTGTGTGCACCACCTGGTTCAACTCCAAACAAACGTAAAACTAGATCTATGCTCAAATTCATTGCTCCGATCCACCTTCAAACAAGATTCGTATATTCGCCTGATTTTACTATTATTATTTACTAAAGTATTTACACAAGGCAGAACAATAGAGACCAAAAGCGTTCTCGTTACTCCGTATTTAGGTGGTATGCCATTGCTTTATGGCCTCGGGTGAGTGGTATACCAGGCATGGTAGGCCCTAGCCATAGTGTGATACGGAAATGACTGTCAATGGCCGTCAACTCAAGATCGGCCACATCTTCTCACTCTTTCTGGTTCATATCACATGCCTCCAGCATTAGCAGCTTGCATGGAGAAAAGTCTTCCGAGAGGTCACAAAATGACAAAGACCTGTCAATTCAGGAGGAAACTGTCACCTCGTTTGCGGTCCTGCCTTCGCCCAGTAATTACACGTACAGCTCTTCAGAAGGGCGTGTACTGACTGTGCATGGACAAAAGAACAATGTCTGGGGACATGTATACCAGATTTCAAAAAGACAACTATCTGTGTGTGTGTGTGTGTGTGTGTGTGTGTGTGTGTGTGTGTGTGTGTGTGTGTGTGTGTGCGCGCGTGTGTGTGTGTGTGTGTGCGTGTATGTGTGTGTGTGTGTGTGTGTGTGTGTATGTGTGTGTGTGTGTGTTTGTGCGTGTGAGAAAGAGAGAGAGTGTGTGTGTGTGTATGTATGTGCACAGGTGCATGGTAGATCTACCATTATGATGAGCTTGCAACACGCTCTCACCTGCCAGGAGTGACGGGTCTCGGCTGCAGGTGATCGGTACCCGGGAATGTGGAACTCAGCTTGCCTGTTGGCTTCCATGGTAGAGGGTTACGCATGCTCATGCTGCTGCTCACTTGAGACCGTTGATGGCCTGGGTGTAGAAATAAAGGGAAAGAAACTTCTTAACCCTTTGCGTGCTGAGTACGAGTTAACTCGCACTTTATGCATGACCTGATCCACTACGTACGAGTTAACTCGCAAAAAAATCGCGCGCTGTATCGCAGTGCATAGACCAGTGTACAAACTTTCGTAACTTCGTCAAACATAAACGCATCGCGACAATCAATACACCGTTGGAAAGATCTTCACCTCATCTTTCCGGGGGTATAAAGTTCTTCGCGATAGGATAAGAATTCATTGAGCGGCGAAAAGATGAACACGGAAATCACGGCCCAGAGTGAACGCGCGCTGTATCGCAGTGCATAGACCAGTGTACAAACTTTCGTAACTTCGTAAAACATAAACGCATCGCGAAAATCAATACACCGTTGGAAAGATCTTCACCTCATCTTTCCGGGGGTATAAAGTTCTTCGCGATAGGATAAGAATTCATTGAGCGGCGACAAGATGAACACGGAAATCACGGCCCAGAGTGAACGCGCGCTGTATCGCAGTGCATAGACCAGTGTACAAACTTTCGTAACTTCGTCAAACATAAACGCATCGCGACAATCAATACACCGTTGGAAAGATCTTCACCTCATCTTTCCGGGGGTATAAAGTTCTTTGCGATAGGATAAGAATTCATTGAGCGGCGACAAGATGAACACGGAAATCACGGCCCAAAGTGAACGCGAATTTTTTTGTTCAAATCTTCTTCTTGTTGCAGAGCGTGCCAGGGGATTTCCCTTTTGGCACGGCGCATGCGTGATGGACATCAAATGAAGCGCTTGGATCTGAGCTTTTCAGTGCAGTTTGAATTGTGAAAATCTGTTGAATTTGGGCAAGAAGCCGAACAAGAATGTGAAATTGAGTTGTTGTGCCGTTCCGAGGCACGGTGGAGTAATTCGGAGAGGACCTGGATGTGGCCCTGATGTGTCTATGGAGCTGAGAGCTGCCAGGATGGATTCGCTTGGTCCTGATCTTTCCAACGAGCCCAGGACGATGAAAATCCATCAAGGTTGAGTAAAATCAGAATAAATTTCGTTCGGAGCTGTGAGTGCATACTCCACCAAGAGAGTCAGTGCGCTGGACGGCCAGTGGATTGGAGAAAAGGGGCTCAGCATGCAAAGGGTTAATTGCAGACATCCCACCACAATTGCCTTGTGCAGTTGCCAATTGGACCTTTTCCAACGTTTCATTAACTCCATCCAGGCATGCATAATTTCGGGCTTGTCGCCGATCTTAACTGCACAACAGTAAACAGCGTGGAGTTAGGTTGAATTATTCACAGCCAGATGTATTGCCACATGGCATACTTGCCAACCCAGCCAAAGAAAATCCCTTAGCCTAGTCACACACCCAGTTTCCCTAATTTTTCTCTCATTTCCCTTGTTTTCCTGGTTTTCGCCAATTTCGGCCGTTTTTCTCTTTTTTTCTGCAATTTTTGAGTATTTTTGCGTATTCTTTTGCGCAATTTTTCGGCAATTTTTCCTTTCTTTTTATTCATTTCTAACCCATTGCTCATTGGGGGACCAAAACCTGAGTTTCTTCATGGTCAGATCGCCCCTACATGTGTGGTTCGGTGAAATGCAGGGCAGCATGTGCCCTTGTCACACCACAAAACAACCTTGTTTTGAACACTGTGGGTCGCAGCACGGCTGGAAAAATCCTTCCGCTTTCAAGCAGGACTTATTATTATTATTATTATTATTATTATTATTAATTCAACATCTCCTGGCTCGTCAGAAGACTGCCAATATATATGAGAAGTCGGGTGGTAGCCAACCACGGCGAAATGAATAATAAGGAGAGAAACAAAGAGAGTACTGCAAGGGGAGGCATGACGAAAATGGTGAGATTATTTGGGACGAAGAAGCTGAAGCTTGAACTCCTTAATGTCTGTGCATGCTTTAAGGCTAGTTGGCAGGGAAGACCAGAGAGTGTACGCAGAGAAGATAGGAGATTTCAGAAACAGGGAGGTATTAGCACGGGGTAATGAGAAGGAATGACGTGTTGATCTGGTGGACACAAACCAGTTATACTTAGCAAAGTGTTTTGGAGCCAGGTCTAATAAGATCATGTGTACAAGGATGCAAAGATGTTGCTGGTGTCGCTCTAAGAGGGGAGATACTGAAGCTAAACTGTAGAGACGTTGGGAGGAGAATGTTTGATTTTTGCGAAACAGGATTTTTAGAAGCAGACGCTGGTGTATTTCCAGAGTTTGAACAAGGGCCTGAGACAGACCGCACCACGCTGTGTCACAGTAATCAAATATAGGTAGAATATACGACGTAAAGAACAATTTTCGGCAATGGTCATTTAAATGGTGGCAGTGAGGTTGCAACATGCCAAGGGAGGAGCTAGCTCGCTTGCATACTGACTGGACCTGTGGGGACCAGGACATATGGCTGTCGAATATAACACCAAGGTGTTTGTGTTCATGAACAATTTTAACGTTAGCATTGGCTCCTGGAAAGTGCAACGGCTGAGTAGGCGGCGATGGGCTGATGAACATTGCTTCGGTCTTCGCGATGTTGGGCCTCAGCTTCCAAGCTTCCATCCATGCTATGGTGGAGTTAATGCCGGTCTGCATGGAGGTAACGAGGTTGGACGGCGAGCTGTCAGAGCACAACAGTGCAGTATCATCAGCAAAAAGGCTGACGTCTGGAACTAGAGAGGGCAGATCGTTCACATAAGTTAGGAAAAGGAGTGGACCCAGTATGGACCCCTGTGGAACACCAGACACTACAGGTAAAGGATCGGACAAGGAAGCAGAGACACGGACAGTTTGATGACGGGACGACAAATATGACGACAGCCACTGCAGAGCTGTACCACGTACTAGAAAAATGTACTCAAGCTTTGCAAGTAGGCCTCGATGCCAGACTGTATCAAACGCTTTTGACAGATCAAAAAAGACAAGACCTACATGCTTCTTCAGGTTACGATGTCCGTAAATATCCTGGATTAAGCGTGTCAATTGCAAAGTAGTTGAGTCGCCACGACAGAAGCTGGATTGTGCAGAGGAGAGGGCAGGGGTGACATGGTGGTAGAGAGATTCATAGAAGATGCGTTCACAGACCTTGGATATAGTTGGTAGGAGGGAGATGGGCCTGTAATTAACAGCTTGGGAGCGTTGTCCTTTCTTAAAGATCGGGACAACAATAGCAGATTTCCACGCAGATGGGAAGACTCCTGCACGATATGACAAGTTGAAGAGCAAGCACAGGGGATACGACAAGGAAGGCACCAGCAGTTTAAGGACTTCATTTGGAATACCGTCTTTTCCAGGAGACTTGCAGCTCTTAAGACGTTTCAGTTGTTTGCGGACCACACCAGTTGTTGTAAAGACCTCCAGAAGTGGAGCGCGCAGCTCTGGAGCTGGGTGCAGGGGCGGGATAACCCAGTTCGGATCGTCGGGAAGGCCGGGAGAGACAAACTGTTTGTTCAGAGTGTCCGCAATGGACTTTGCCTCAGACTGACGGTTGCCATCAGGATCAATCAAGCACTGGATTGGGGCGCGAGAGACACTGGGACGCTGGGTGCGAATGAACTGATAGAAAGAAGGACGATTGGGTGATGAGATTGTTTCAGAGAGGGAGCTGATGTAAGAGCGGTAGGTTTTACGGGATAGGTATTTGACAAAGTTGCGTTGAACTCGGTAGGCCTCCATATTGACAGGTGTTGGAAATTTTCGGCTGACACTGAAGAGGTCTCGTTTACATTTCACCGCAGATACGAGGACAGTCGACACCCAGGGTGGATTGGATGTCACAGACGATGTGCGTATGTTTGACCGACAAGAATGGGTGGAAAAATCAGCGAGGTGGTGCTGGAAGGTTTGTTCCAGGACGATTGAAAATCGATCGACTGCGTCGTCAACAGTTGGGGAATTGCCTGGGCGTAGAAATGACCAGTCACAATGAGAGAGATCGGAATTAAGAGAGTCCCTGCAGTGAGAGGGGACATGACGATAGCGGTAAGGGAAATGTTTGCGTGGTGCTTGCTGCAGATGTTGGCCAGGCGATGGTGAGAGCTCGAACCGACATGACACGGTCAGATGATCCGAGGATCCAAGAGCGCAAGTCGTGTTAATATCCGTTGCAAGCTGGGGGTTGTTGACGAAGAGAAGGTCTAAGCACGACTGGGTCCCTGCAGGTGTTGTGTGCGTTGGGGTATTCACAAGCTGCTCTAGTCCGAAGCAGGTGAGGTGGCGGTAGAGCGCAGCTCCCGCGGGGGACGTTGAGTCAGTTGGGCACCAGTGCTGGTGCTTACAGTTGAAGTCTCCAGTCAGTATGACGTGGTACGAGGACATGGGGATAGTGACCAGGGCATCGGTGAGCATGTTACAGAAGTGATTTATCTCTGTGCTTTTGGCAGAGGGTGGGCGATAGGCACTACAGACAATAATAGGCTTTGGGGAGCCGGAACAAGGTTTAAGCTCCACCCACACTGTTTCACAGGTAGGGCGACTGAGGTCGTTGCGAAGTTGGATACAACTGAAACGATGATCACGAACGAGAATAGCGACTCCACCATATCCCCTGGAGGCGGTACCAGACTTGTTTTCGTTAGGAGGTCGATCACGCCGAAAGGTGGTGTATCCAGAGATGCTAAGAGCGACACTTGGAGCTAACCAGGTTTCACTGAGGCAAATAATGTCAGGTCTGTGGATCTCGGCAATAGCCGACAATTCTGCGGATTTGTTGAGAACGGAGCGGCAGTTAATGGAGAACAAGTTTAGCTTTTCCTGGCAGCGCGGGTAGTAGGGCCGAGCCAGTGGATTTAGGTGGGAATTGGCCATCATTCGCTGGCTGTTGCGACATCGTTTGTGCTGGTGCCAAAGCTGTCACTTTTGAAGCGCCAGGGTCGGATGGTGTGGGAAAGCATGTCAGGCCAGAATGCCTTATTGGCTACTTTCTCCTCGTCGGCTGCCTCCACAGTCACGCGTGCATATGCAGTCCTGAAGTAGGCTGATGCATAGATGACGCATTGCACTATGTCGACCCCATGATCGGAGCACCATTTAGCAATAGATGATGCGGAGCAGTGAGGTTGCACGTTCCCAATGTAAAAGACCTTACGCTTTGCCCGGGGCGCTGCCGTCAACTCAGCAACATGGCCACCGGCGGGGGGTGTTTCGTTTGTGTAGCGGGACTTCTCCTCGCGCTTGGTGATCAAGGATGTCTGCATATTAGTATTGCCTTCTACGGGTGTGCTTGAACGCTGAGCCCTGCGCAAACGCCTTGCTTGGACGTCCTGCCATTCGGGTTGAGGGGTGTGCGTACGGTGTGAGACGGAGTCGACAGTGCTAGGTTGCTGTACAGTGTGTGCACTGGGCTGGCTGGCACTGCCAGCTGAGCATGTGCGTGTGTACCGTACAGGGTGTGTACCGGCGGGCTTGAGCTGGAGGGTCCAGCGGGTGCACGTGCAGGTTGTTGGGATGTTCCTGCTAGTACGTCGCTGTACTGTGCTGTGCTGCCAGAGGTCGTGTGGCTCCCGTGTACGCGTTGCATGAACCTGGTACCCTCTGTTTCTCAGCCATGGTCTTCGACCATCCCACTATGACTGCCTCGTGGCCTGGCATGAGGAGAACATATATGCAGTGAATGGGATTTTCGGTCTTTGACCACTTGCTGGTGAGCTGATCTACTCACCTCCCACCGCTTTAGGAGCTGCATCTGCACCTTGATCCTTGAAGGGTGGTGGCGTTCCTACGGATGCGGAAAACTCGGTTTCCAGCCGAGTCTCGTGCGAACCGTGACATTTTTTTAATTAATTTTGAACACTCATGGTTCAGTGCCAATCCCGGTAGTTTTTCGATCAAAGTCAAAAATCCCCGGTATGCCGGTAGGTACCCTAGTTTTCCGGTAGTATGCCAGGAAAACTGGTATGGTTGGCAAGTATGACGTGGCCATCACAACATGGCATATAGCATACCTGGGGGTGGGGGTGCTTTGGGTGCTCGGCCCGCGGCACCCCCTTACAACGTTCAACCTTGACATACGAGCTTCAAGTACACAGGCTCCTGATCAGAATGTGGATGGAGCCTGTAGGGGAGACGGTTTCAAATAGGACATAGGTTGCAAACCGGAACGGTCTCAATATTCACTTTCTCTCTTGGTATTTTGATAAGAAACATATGTCACAGTGAGACTACGATGTGTTTTACTCAGCGCCAAAATTCCATGGCTCTGCGATGACCAGAAGCGCCATACCAAGCATTTGAGTTTTGACGTGTTGCTTCCCACTGCGACTTGAGTTTTAGGTCTTTCGAAAAATCAACTTCTTGTCGCAGGTAAACAGCGGCTCACCTCTCGCCAATAAAGCACCGTATACCAATGAAAACTAATGGAAGCACACACAAGGCTTATTGGTGCTCTGTACTGGCCGTCGTGGAGCCATAGCAATTACCTAATTTCAGAACCCGGAGTGAACTTGACGTGCACTCCAAAACCTTTCCGGTTTGGAGCCACCTCTGTAAACACCAAAAATTGAGGGCAAATTGGAGGCAACGGGCTAACACAAAGGAGTGGCTCAGATCGATCGACTCTGGCCTCAAAGCAAACTTCAACATGCCAGCTTCCTTCCACAAAACATATTTCGAGTGAACAACCCACGCTGATGATCGGTTTGGGTCTACACGATTATGCTGTCAAACCGTTCCGGTATCGAACCGTCGCCTCTACATGATTCTAGATCAAGTCACGTTGTCAGTGCGGGGCACCATGATACACCAAGAAGTATGTCGATCTACTGAGTGCCAGCCTAGTGTTACAGCCATGTGCTTAGAACATGCACAGCACGTTACTGGCGCTTGTTGTTCACACACCCTCGGCATCTGCATTTTTAGCACCCCAGACAAGACCTGCATGCATTCCATTTGGTTTTCGACAAGCATGGATAAAGTAACAGGTATTGTATCAAGTATGGGCGTTGTGTGACAGAAGTCAATCCAGCAGCGGTGGGAGTGATGGAAGTGAAGAGAGAGAAGAGTAGCGAAGATAACGTTTTTTTTATATTATTACAAATGAAGTCGCTCACGGTTTTGCAACAGGAAACTTAAAAGCAAAAAAAGCTTCAGTCTTTCCCGTCACTTTCGTCGCAAGACGCAAGTCAGAGGGTTACAGTGGCAGATAGTGAGAATACTGGATCGGACCAGCCTAATATGGATACCGATCCCCCAAAGCTTGCTATACCTGCTCCAACCCGTCGCTCCAGTGGCTCGCTCCCTGCATCCACAAGCGCTGCATCAGAATCTGAGGCTGCGGTGAATAATGTCCTGGAAACCGCTTCTCCACCAAATGGCAAGGATGTAAGTGAGCTCGTTGCACTTTTAGCGGAACAAAGGAAGCCCGGCGACAATTTGCAGTTCAATCTTCTCAAATCGCATTTCGTGCCAACGCGGAATTACGACAAAAAAAAACGTTTGTTTCAACACCGCTGGCTGGAAAGCTATCGTCCCCGACTCGTGTAGTTGTGTACTTCACAGCAGTATGTTCCCATGTGCATTGTTTGCTACACCACTGTGACATTCTGGCACAACACTGGGTCTTCAGTCTTGTCCTAACGTTGACATCCTATCGGAAATTGCTCGAGGTGCTGTCAGATCACCAGAGTAAGAAATCCACCAAGATGCAGTTTTCGCGTGGATGAGTTCCAATCAGTTGTGGAGGGCAAGAAGTCAAATGTTATGGTGCGTACCAACGATGCATGGTCTTGCTGGCAAAGTTCGTTTCAACCGAGAAAAGCTGAAATCCAGGCATTATCGTCCTATGTGGTTGTCAGAATATTCCTCTACATGGCCACCAAGACACCACACTAATCCACGAAGGCCAATCTGGGAAACTTCTGGGCCCGGCAGATTTCCGGGCACATGCTGGTGACAAGCATCTTGCGGAGCACCTGACATGCAGTGCTTCAAATTCCATGTGCAACTCACAATGGGAACCAAAATGAGTATCAATATTATCATCGGTAACGAGATAGCATCCAGAGCAGAAAGAGGGTTGGCCTACTGTGATGATCGATGAGGTGACAGACGTCTCCAACAAGGAGCAGCTGAGCCTGGTGCTCCGCTGTGTAGACTGCAGCACGCATGTCGTGCGAAAAGATTCTGTTGGGTTTCTGGAGTGCGACACTGGCATTACTGGCTACTGGCAAGGAGCTCTCGCGTAAGATAGTCGGTGGGTCAACGGAACTTGACCATGACCTGACCAAGCTCTGCGGACAATGCTACGATGGAGCTAGCAATGTGCAAGGTGCGACCAAGGGCGCAACTGCTCGCATTAGCAGGGCCTACCTCAGGGTTCTATCTTGGAACCCTTGTTGTGCCCTTGGCTTGCGTCCTTGACGTGTGCGTTGTTCTACGGGGACTAACATCCCTACATCGCTTCATGCAACCGCTCCGAGCCTTTCAGAAGCGTGCAGCACACTACAAGCTAATCCCCAAACCAGCAGTGAACTGGATGGGGCACTAGACTGCATGCGCCGGGGGAGATACCCCAGACCATGCAATTTCATAATCCTTTTTACCGGGTAACACATTGCTGTACATCTGGTATTTCCCCCACAGATGATCTAAGTCAGTTCTAAGATTCTACATGTTACCAATAACAAGTTAATTGCATGATTGTGCGGTAATGTCCCCAGCGGGCCAGGGCGGTCATTGACTAGTACGTGATAACACTGGATCCACAGCCTTCTTACCTGGGGACTTTGGGAAATAGCCACTGTAACCGGACATATTGACGCACCGTTGAAACTCTCCGAAGTATGCCGTCCAGGATAAGCCGACCGCGAAACCCTGTGTCGACACTGACTATTGTAATTTGTAACGATGACTTTCAGAAAATATTTTTTCTAGACGAGTTGAAATACAGTGAGACAAACATGTTCTACAAGCTGAAAGCTAGGATTTGGAGAGTGCCTCGCTCGTGTCGACAGCCTTCTCCACCGCTACATGACTTCGTGTATACTGAAGCCAAAAGGAAGCCCTATGAGGCTATGGCGAGGAACAACGACGTGAGTGGATTCGTCCCGTCCGCTACTCAGCAAGCACCACTGTTACTGTCTTTCTTCTACTTCTTTCTTTCGCGGCTTTGAATGATGTTATGGATAAGTGTTGAGTATCTAGCGACAGCAGAGACGTGTCACACGACCGACTCGAGAGTGTCATAATCGTCACCAGTCTACCATGGGCCTCCGACTGACTGACAGTCTGTAGACTGTCGTAGCTTGACTTCACACTACACCCAGCCACAAATCTTCATTCAAGACGGCTAGGCTGGCCAGATGCAGAGCTAGCATGCATGCAGTGTAGCTCTACAAAGTACAATGACCTGATACTGTAGCCTACACTCTAGCCTACACTACAGTACAGACAGTGTAGGCTAGATTGTACGAGTCTGCGTGTAGAGACTGAGAGGCAAACAGGGAGTCGTGAGATTTTACGACTCGACTCCTACCAGTACCAGGGAGTAGTAATACTACTCCCTACATTTTACTACGGCCTACAACTAGTACCAAGTACATGTAGTAGTACAACTAATTACTTCAACTACAAGTTAGTTTGTAGGCCTGGCCTGCTCGCTCCCTACTGAGTGAGTGGCATGGACATGTGGACCGACCGTGCACAGTTTGTTTTTCTTTCTTCCAGACTCCTGAATCGTATGCGCGCGGATCGGATGACGAGAAACATAGAATTATTTAGAAATAAAAATGTGTGGCCTTATCCAGTGTTATCAAGACTCAGACAAGAGATGAAGGGTGTTACTTCGTGACAATCATGTCGATAGCTCCCTCCCCTTGGCTTGCAGCTTGTTATTACGCAAGACAAGACTGTTGACAGCCACACAATGCATGCCGGCAATGGCGCACACACACTGAGTCTGTCACTTGACAAGCATTCATCACAGTCATTGACATCGTCGCGTGCATTGCACAGTACGTGCGTGGGCAAAGAGTTCGGTGTCTTTCCATTTTGTGCGAAATTCGTTTTGGACACGAGATTCACGCTAGTAGATCAGTAGTGTGTCGCCGTCACGTCACTGCATTTCTGAGCTGTTATCGAATAATAATACTCAGCTCAGAGAATCCGAGGCTTTGGCTGATTTTCCTGCTGCTCGGAGTGAGTAGAGACAGAGTCCCTGTGTGTGCTAGTTAGCCTTCCCTGTACAATGTCCCGTTGTCCGTGAGCCAGTTTCTTGGCTGGTTCCGCCGTGGACCTGTTCAAGCATTGTGCAGGGGAGGACCTAAACAGAGACTGTGACCAGCAACAACAATGTCCGATCTTCCCTATCCAGAATGGCTCAAGTCTGCTGTCCTGGCTGGTACTACGACAGCGGCGGTTGCGTTTGCTGTGTACTGCGTGCGTGCCTATGCGAGCGATGTGAAGGATGAGTCGAATATCGTATACGTGCGGAACACGAACGCCACCAAGTCGTCCACAAGTAGCATATCATCCTACGATGTGGATGGTCTGACAGCGGAGCGAAGAGTCGCATCTAAAGTGCGCACCTCCGAGCGACGATCTATGACACGTTTTGGACCGGGAGGGTCGGCTACAATAGCAGCAACAGGACAAATCATTCAAGATTTCGGAGATGAAAACGATGAATGGGCGGACGAGGCACAGGATCAGCTTGCAGAACTAACTACCAGTCGCCAGCGAAGCTGCGCTCCTGATCCGTTCGACGGAGGAGACGATGATGACGGGACGGATGATGTCGCACGACTCGGAAGCGATCGGCCAAGGTGCGGTGTTTTTTTATGCTATTATAATATTATTATTATAGACTACTAGTGCACTGTAGCTAGCATGCACATGCATAAACACGATCAGCTCATCACCAGGCTAACAATGATTATGTGAGTCACGCAGGCAAAGATGTATTTCAAAGTGTTTAGTGTCACAAACTGGCCAAATCTTGTTCCTTACACCTGCGACGCATGCCACATGATCATAACGTAACGCTGCATGCGCAAAATATATATGGGCCTCAACCAGCGAAAACAGCCCTTAGGGTCAACATTTTCAAAATTCCTTTTTGGTTATATATTTGTTGAACCACATCTACTGAAGGACCTCAGCCAAGAAAAAGTTCAATATTCCGATTCTAAACGGGTGTATACACCAATATACAATATGTACTCCAAATTGGTGCAATGTATGTATACGATGTATGTGTACAATGAATATTCAGCATTCGAAGGTGGGTGGGCAGCTTGAATACTTTTGAAATAGTGAAGTAAGCAGCTATAATGACAAAGAATAGCTGATGAGTGCGGAGAAATGATCGACATATTCGCAGCTGCATCCTGGCCTGCGTGGAGTCGTTCCGCAATCTTGTCTTCCATTTCTTCCTCCGCAGCTGAAGACACGACGTCGCTGCCGTCACTAGCCCAGGACTCAGAATTTATCTCAGGTGACGACTCCTCATCTTCCGACTCTGACGAGTCATCGGCCACCTTGAGCCGCATCGCAGCAGGAGATGACGGCTGCGATTCCGCCTCGCTGTCGACATCGATGTCGGAACCAAAGAACGTTTCATCCTCATTCTGAACTTCAGCGGCTACTTCAGCATCCACTCCCCACCAGGCTCGAGCTAGCTGTAGACGATGACTGCCGTGTGTGCTCTGCGGACAGCTCTGGCGTCCGCAGCCATCGCAACAAGATCAAGGAACACTGGCCCAGTCGCCACTCGACACCACTTCAACTTCAAAATAAATTACTTCAAGCAAGGAGTTCAAGAAGTCGTGGCGCTGTTTGCAGCGCGATCAAAAAACGTTGAACGTCACAAATCGACCTTTTTCTCGAAAAAATTACGAAATCTCTAAGGGTCGTTTTCGCTGATTGCGGCTCATATTACTGCTGAGTGCAAGCGTTTTCGGGGGAGTATAGATTTTGTAATACTGAAAGTAAAGAGCGTGATACATGAGTAAGAGTGGTGTTCATTTTTGCCGAATACAATGCCAGTAGGTACAAGTACAATGTACTGGAGTAAGTAGGTGAAACACGCACTCGATCAGAGAGCACACAACAAGAAACGCCGCTCAGAAGCACTCTCACAGACGGTAGTGTTGAAAAAGACTTCAGTTCCTCTCAACAGCAGCTGTAGCTGTGCTGCACGGGTCAATGGTTTGTAGGATCGAAGCAGGAGTAAGGGTGGGGCGTTCCATATTGACCCGGCTGCATCAGTAGGGCCACAGGGTGTGTCCACACGTCACTAGTAAGCAATTAGTCAGTGGGACCCCACGCATGGATCTTTTCACGGCACATCATAGAACCAATGATAAGTTAGTATTTCCTCCTACCCTGCTGTACTCCCTGTTATTCCGACTTACATGCAGGTCAGCCAGCCTTCATCCGAACATTTCCATGGGTCACGTCACGCAGCTCGGATCTAGTTCATTACAAAGCACGGCCACTCGCAAGCGAGTGCTGCTCCTCGGCCTGGACGGAGCGGGCAAGAGCTCTCTGCTGCGGCAGTTGTCCAACTTCGAGTCATTGTCCAGCCGCTACGTTCCCACCGAAGGATTCAGAGTAATTGCCATGGCAACGCAAAGCTGTCGCTTCGACATGTATGAAGGTGAGAGAGTAATGACACAGATGTGTGAGGTGAGAGAGTAATGGCACACATGTGTGAAGCGTGTCAGCCCTGGGTGCCGGTTCACAATGAAAGCGTAGAGTGACACCACGAGAAACTGAGCAGTTCTGAAAGCACTCGAATGCCATCAGATGATCGTGTGAAGGAACCATGCCATAGCCCAAAATTTGACAACACCCGGAAAGAACAGGCCCTGGATTCACTGCATGTTATGATCATACCTGCTTGGCCTGCGGCCATGCAGGTTTACAGCAGATCTGGAGACACTGAAAACTTGATGCAGGCTTTCTGTTCACTGAGAGTGGATTCAACTTGCGGTGAGCTTCCATACACCAAATAGGAATTATGGAGAATGTAGGATGAATGTAGGATGACATATGACAGAACAGCACATTGTAAACAGTATGGGTATGCTTTGACTGGCTTTGTTGTTGTTGTTGTCGTCGTCGTCGTCGTCGTCGTCGTCGCTGCTGCTGCTGCTGCTGCATTTTTTCAATTGATTTGACCTCTGCCGCCCCCTCCCCCCCCCCCCCCCCCCCACACACACACTCATCACCACCACCCCACATCCACTGTATGCCGTTTATTTTAAATAGTTACCGCACATGTATATCAACACCACGAAGAGTATGAAGCTCTTTACAAAAGGTTACCTTGTTTACGCCAATGTGTGCACCGGTGATGGAATTCTCATATTAACAATACTTGTAAGTATGACTGTGTCTTTCATCATTTGTTTCCATGTCTAGTTGGTGGTAGTGAGAAGAACCGAGAGTACTGGACCAAGTTTCTCGACAAGATTGACTTGCTCATGTTTGTGATGAACGGGTGCAGCAATGACGAACGCCTAGAGCTTGCCAGCGAGGAGCTCAAGAAGGTGCTGTCAGACAGCCGCATGGATGGCATTCCCCTGCTGCTCGTCGTCACGCATCAAGACAGGCTGCAGTGCCTGAGTCCCGATGAGGTGAGCTGAGCAACTGCTACAGGCTGGCGCAATGCGTGCTCCACTACGATGTGCACTCATCTTGCTGCTGCGGTACTGCTAAGGTTATGGTGCACGATTCAGAGTAACAGCGAGAATGAGGATTGTGCCACTGACAACTTCTACATTGAATTATCTACAGTCAAACACGTGCCAAACCGTTTGTTTACTTTTTGATACGTACGATTGACTGTGACGACTGAAGTGTTTGGATTTGTATGCCGGAACCAGAATGGTTGCAATACGATTTATTTAAAACCTGTATTTGTTTTGTTTCCGTTGTTTTGACCAGGCTGCTGTGGCGATGGATCTGGATTCCTATGCTCACGCACGGCACCTCTGCCGACCGGTGGGCGTGTCACTTCACCATGGTGATCCACCGGAGGGCCTAGCCAAACTGCGTAATTGGATGTTCCCCGTCCTAGCACGCGGCGTGGAGATCCAGGATGATCAGGAGAATGCTGATGAAGAAGAAGGGGGAGACGACGAAGCGGATGAGATCTACTAAGTGTAAATAATTCAGAGACCCATTGATCAATGTGCACTTTCAATTTCCGAGTGTGTCGTCAATGGGTGTGGAGGTCGATGTCACTTATACTGGTTTGCATACCGGTAAGTATTTGCTGTTTTGTGAAGTAAAGTTTGTCGAAAAAGACTAGTCAAACTCAGTTGCTTTGAAATTATTTCCTGTCGCCGCATCATCAGCACTGAGAATATCACTGACTAGTAGAACTGCGGTTGTATCTATTCGTTTCTGATCCATTTTATTTCTGTATGGCAGTGATAGTCGCGGATGGCATAATTACATGTACTTTACACTTCAATCACGGTTCTCTCACAACAGAGAGTTATTTATTGCGTTGCTTTTCAATGAGCAAGAGTTACCACCACCATGACAGCCAATGAACTTTCTTTTCTTGTTCTTTTTTTCGGTTGCTAAATTCATCCCTTTATTTCTGTCTTGATTTTGACACGAAGGCTATTTTTCTATGACTGTCACAACAACAATGTTTCAACCGATTGCTGAGATGCATGGCCAGCCGTACGAGATTGTAAAAACGCTGTTTTAAAGTTTTTAACTGTTCTGCTGATCTTCCCAACTCAATCGCTGCGCTGCTGTGTTGTGAGCAGTGTGAGTGTCTTTCACGGCGCGTGTAACCGGCAGTGGTGCTGGATAGGATTAGGAGTCACACATGGTTGTTTAGGACAAGGATTCCGGGAATCAGGGTCGGGGATGGCAATGGCATGGGTGAAGAGTCTGCAGTGACGACATGATGATGATGGAATTGGACGCTGTCGTCATTTCGAGGCACTTGCGCAGCTTGCACGATGCAACGCGGATTAGCAGGGATTAGTAAATTACTACTTTCTGCCGATGAACCGTAGGCTACAATGCCAACTACTGGCGATGGTCATTTAAAAAAAGTAAAGTTAGCGGGATTCGCCGCGGCCGCATCACCCGACGTGTTTACCGGGAACACATCAAGCAAATACATTCACATCGGCGGGCCACCACTTCGCCCATACATATACATGTATCCTCAGTGTCGAATGCAGACCTCACAAGTGAGTCAGGGGAGATGGGGATAAGTCTCTCAACAAGCGGGTGTGTATTACTATTAGTATTACAGTATTCAGGTAGTGCCCATAAACCGTATCCTTGGTCATTATTTTACGACTCCCGGGCAGTCCCGGCTGCAAATAAAAGACTGCACCCCCCCCCCCCCGGCCCCCGCACTATGTGGCACGTGCACTGCATGATGACTCTCGATCTCAAAAAATGACAAGTCAATACGGACTCCGTTCTCTTTGTTTGCCCAATATCTTTTCTCATTGTTCTTGAATAATATTGAAGAACTCATTTCAGGTTTGCTACTTGATTGGAAGGATTTTGTTTATCATCAGGTGTGACAATGCTTAGTAATCAGTCTTCTCGGCTGCTGAGATCTGCAGCATGCGGAGTTAGGAGTTTGGGCAGTGTTGCTGGCACGACGTCCAGCTCCTCATCACTGACCACGTCCCAGCAGGTTTTCGCCAAGGAGAAACAGTTCGGTGCACACAACTACGAGCCACTGCCGGTGGCCCTCTCTCGTGCCGAGGGCGTTTCAGTGTGGGATGTGGAAGGCAAGCGATACTATGACTTTCTCAGTGCCTATTCCGCCACGAATCAAGGTCACTGTCATCCGAAAATCATCCAGGCCCTGACTGATCAGGCGCAACGTTTGACCTTGACCTCCAGAGCATTCTTCAATGATTGCTTGGGAGAATATGAGGAGTACATCACGAAACTCTTTGGCTACGACAAAGTGCTGCCAATGAATACGGGTGTTGAGGGAGTAGAGACTGCAATGAAACTGGCCAGAAAATGGGCCTACACTGTCAAGGGTGTTCCCCAGGACAAAGCCAACCTGGTGTTCGCAGAGGGGAACTTCCATGGAAGAACTCTGTCAGTTATATCAGCATCCACAGATCCGTCATCGTACGAGGGTTTCGGACCACGTATGCCCGGATTGCATGTTGTGCCGTATGATAATCTTGATGCGCTAGAAGTAAGTTAGTTGCCGGTCTTGCAAGCCAATGCATCTGCACCCGCGCATGTGTGTGTGTGTGTGTGTGGGGGGGGGTTGGGGGACTCACTTGCATGCCAGGTAGTATGTGTATTTCGTGCTTGTCCATACCTGCGAACCCTGGCTATTGTGTGTGTGCTAGAGATGAGTCAGTTAGAGCATCCATGGCTGTACTGTGGTTATCTATGCACCCCCAGAAATAGCAGTGTGGTGATTTTCATCATTGCACACATGTACACACCACACACACACACACCTGTTGACGCCCATCGCCGGAGGCGATGATAGCAATGCTACGGCAGAAGCCATAGCAACTTGTGCTGGGATTGCACCATTCAACAGCTTGCAAGGCTGAAGAATTGACCGTCACTATTCAGCCTGGTCTACACCATACAGCTATTTGAAGTGACTTTTTCTGGCCAGTGAATCCCTATTTTTGGTCTCTTCATTTTTTTCCCGCACACACCATCACACCACATACTCCGGCAAGCACTGGCTGTTGGTAACCAGTGGTAACCACCCAGGAGAATGAAAGAAAAGTCAGGAAGAGTCTGAGAAAGAGAAGAAAGACGTGTGTGACCATAATCGTCGGGAATCGAACCCGCAACCTATCGATTGGAAATCGCTGCACATACCACTGCACCATATGGGACACACACACACACACGCGCGCGCGCGCGCGCGCGTGCACGCACACACACCCATACGCACACAACACACACACAGGGGATGCATGTAGCACAATGTCATGTATGGTACTGTATGCACACTCAAACTCCTGTGCCTTACTTTACACTGCATAGCACTGATGACATCCTCACACATACTGTATGTGTATCACATTCAATGTGTGTGCTCACAGGAAATCTGCAGGGACCCGCACACAGCAGCGTTCATAGTGGAGCCCATTCAAGGAGAGGCAGGAGTTTACGTTCCGTCGCCGGGTTATCTGCGTGGAGCGCATGCCATCTGCAAGAAGTACAACGTGAGTTGGCAGTACAGTCTAGCAGTGCGTTGGTCAGAGTGTGTGTCATTGTGTGCTCTACTAGAGTTCAAGTACTAGTGTATGGATTGACTGTGGTCATTTACGAATTGAAAGACAATGCGTACTGTGCTCTGTCAACTCTTTTAAAACAGTGTTGCTCGCGGCGCAGGTTGTGTGTGTGTGTGTGTGTGTGTGTGTGTGTGTGTGTGTGTGTGCATGTGTGTACATGTGTGTGTGTGTGTGTGTGTGTGTGTGTGTGTATGTGTGTGTGTGTGTGTGTGTGTGTGTGTGTGTACCGGTATGTGCGTGCGTGGGTATGCCTGCTGTTACTCATGTTTTCCGGTGTTCCTGTAGGTTTTGTTTGTGGCTGATGAGGTGCAGACTGGCCTGTGCAGAACTGGAAAGTAAGATTCCCTTTGAATACCGGTTTGTTACTAAGTCTTGCTTAGAGGTATGGGCTGCCTTTATGGCAACAGGTATGGGCTTCAGGTATGGCTGCAGGCATGGCTACAGGCATGGCTACAGGTATGACTTCATTTACCGTATGGCTTCGGGTATGGCTTCAGGTGTGGCTACAGGTATGACTTCATTTACCGTATGGCTTCGGGTATGGCTTCAGGCGTGGCTACAGGTATATCTACAGGTATGACTTCAGGTGCCGTATGGCTTCAGGTGTGGGTACAGGTATGGCTTGCCGTATGGCTTCAGGTGTGGCAACAAGTATGGGCTGTTATCAACCCGTCCTAGTACAGTGCTGGCACCTTGATAGGGGAGAGGAAGAAAGAGCATTCCAGGGGTAGAACGTGTCCTCATAATCACAACTAATTCCGAGCTTGAGTTGCGACCATTTGTTTTTCGCAGAGTTTGATGATGCAGCTGTGTATGTGGCAAGGGTTTCAAAACTATACCTCTGTAACAAATGCTACAAGCATCTTCTTCATGACTCAGCCGCTCTCTGCTTTTTGAATTGTCTTTGAATGAGCCCACCCGTTGATAATATTACCGCACACATCGATCACTACATGTATTCACTGTGCTCTTTGTGTGTGCCGCTGCTGCTGCTGCTTGTATTGTGGTGTAGGTGGCTGTGTATAGATCACGATGATGTTCGTCCAGACATGGTTGTTCTCGGCAAGGCTTTGGGAGGCGGCGTGCTCCCCGTGAGTTCCCTATGCAGTGTGTGCTTCCAATGTCGTATCTGACGGAGTAAGATGCACAGTCCATTTTTTCTGAAGTGGTAAATCAGTGATTGTTGTGCCACTCGATACAGTACATGTACACCTCACAAGACGATGTAGTGGCATAGCGTCTATAGTATTCCCAGGGCGTTTTTGAGCTTGAAATTGTATGTCCATAGTGTGCAGTACTTGTATCTACTCTAGCAAGTGCAGTATTTCCCAGGGTGCGCAGACATGGGCCCAGGGCCGAAATATTTGTTGATTTTTCTTTTCTTTCTTTTCCAAAGTTGAGATACCAATTTCAATGGAGAGTTGGTGTTTTACGTTCTTATGGGAGCATTTAGTTCACTGCACTAGTACATGTACTTGACGGGTAAGCCATACACTATGCTGCATATCCTGGCATCTCCAGCAGTCGTCTCTTGGGCACGGTTTGCCAGTTGCACTCTGTTACACTCCCGCTGTGCTAGGCTTGTCAGGACCTGATGCATGTGTGTTTGTGATTAGAGAGGACCAAGCAGCTTGGCAGCTTGGTGTATTGTGCATTCGCACTCATCACAGGCCAATGCCATGACCTCTTCTATGTGTCTGTGCAGGTATCGAGCGTTCTAGCCGATGACTCAGTCATGCTAACGATAAAGCCCGGAGAGGTGGGTATCTTAGTCTTGTCCCTCTTTAGAAGTGTACATGTGTGACCGAACATCAGTAGTATCGAGAATGCTGCACTGTTGTCATTGTCTGCAGTCATGGTGTTTGTGCATGATCGGAAATTCGGTATGTGCCGTTGTGTTCTAAATAGTAATGTGATTGCTTTGGGAAAGGTGATGAGTCCACAACCGCAGTCGTTTTCGTTCTTCTTGACCCTCTTATCAGACGGGATGAAACTCACTGAAGGCTGGCCCAGTGGAGACATGTTGAATGGGTGTACAGTCAATCCTCGTTAAAAATAACATTGATTCTTTAGAAAAACTAATACTAGTACTTATGAATACTTGAACAAAAAGTACTTGTAAAAGTAGGGGAAAGTCATAACTCTATTGGATATATCCATGTGTATTGACAGTGCTTAAGATATGGATAAGAAGAATTCTCGTTATTGAGAACAAATACCATCGGACCCTTGGTGTTCGTCCTGAAGCGATTTGTATTTCATCCCCAAGTAAGCATACACTAGCAAAACCTCTGATATCTACGGTCTATGTGTGACTGTGTTCTGTTCAGCATGGCTCCACGTTTGGTGGAAACCCATTGGCCTGCAAGGTGGCAATAGCTTCACTAGAAGTAAGTTTCTTTTTTGCTTTTTAACTGTTAGTTGTGTAGCTGTAGGCACCATCATCTTGCTGGCTTTGTTTGCCCTTTGCTGATACAATGTATTGTGGTGTATCTCGAGACTCTACATCCTGCCAAATGTTCAGCATGATTCTGTGGACTTATTATGGGGTTCCTTTTCAATTCTCTACTTTTGTTTACGAAAGTTACGTATCAGATTTTGCAATTACAATTTCCTATTAAACGGATGGTGGCTCACTACATGATACCCGTCACGATGACGTTGATAAGCAACTACAATGTAGTAATGTAGTATGTTTGTGGGTGTTGTGCATATGTTATCCTAGGTGCTGGGTGAGGAAGGCTTGCTCGACCACGTGACTCGCATGGGTGAGCTGCTGCGCAGTGAACTGAGGACTCTGCCCCAGGACGTCGTGACCACTGTGCGTGGCAAGGGACTGCTGAGTGCCATGGTCATCAAGCCGCAGAGCAATGGTAAGGGTTAGCTGGTACGATGAGCATCTTGCGACCGATTGCATTGTGGACTATAACCGACTGTTGACAATATTTTGATAGTTACATAAAATGACAAAAGTACATATTGAGTATGTCTTTATCGGCTGTGCTACATGGACCATATTTGCCGGAGTATAGTGCGCTCTTTAGATGCGCTTTTCCAGGCCCCAAATCGCAGGTGTCAGCTTTGTGTCGTTTTATGCCGTTGTTTCATACTATAAGTTCTTCGTTGATGTGAATCATTGTTGTCCCCCCCCCTTGCTCTTTTTGCTCATTGCTATGTTAGGCGTTACCGCATGGGATATCTGTCTCAAGCTGCGTGACAACGGCCTGCTCGCCAAGCCCACGCACAGCGACATCATCCGATTTGCTCCGCCGCTCGTCATCACCGAGCAGCAGATGCGGGAGGCCATTGATATCATCAAGAAAGCTGTGCTGTCATCGGTGTAAGCTAGATGCAATACGTGGACACGGCGGTCGCTTCAGCTGGCGCTTCGATCCTGTTCAGTGCCAGTGATATTTGCCGTTGATTCAAAAAAAAATTACTGCTGCCTCTTCCGCCTTCTGCTTTGCGTTGATTGAAGCCCATGCTAGTGGCAGGGCGCTTCTATACTGACCAGTACAAGTCAATCAGGGCCGTTCGACGTACAATCAAATCATGTCTGATTTTTGAAACATTTTTGTTAAGAAAGAGATGGCAGGCCACTCAATTGCGTTCTTATATTAGCTTTAGTTTCCATTAAATATTTCTTATGTTGCTCCTCTATTCACCGGTTTATGCTCAGTCGTACACTTGCTTTCAAGCTCCTGATGGGGTTGCCTTTTTTTTAAAACATTTCTCTAGTTCTATTTTCTGTTCATGGATTGCCGGGAGTGGAAAGGAAGTCGACTTCCCACTCACCCATAGACTTTGCCCTGCTTGCGAGTATGTGTGCAGGAAGTGTTTGTGCGAGGAGCATGTTGGATTTTTGCATCAGTACCCGTGCCTGGTGATGCAAATCATGCAGTGCAAAGTAGGAAGGAATAACAGTAACACCGAGTTGTCCAAGGTCTTATTACACTACATGACATTGTCCAAGGTCTTATTACACTACATGACATTGTCCAAGGTCTTATAACACTACAATCATGACATTGTCCAAGGTCTTATAACACTACATGACATTGTCCAAGGTCTTATTACACTACATGACATTGTCCAAGGTCTTATTACACTACATGACATTGTCCAAGGTCTTATAACACCACATGACATTGTCCAAGGTCTTATTACACTACATGACATTGTACACGTGTGAGGCTTTACAATTGTGTCTGACCAGTTACCTCATTGCATTTGGCTCTCCTCAACTGGCCTTTTGTTTGTGGTGAACTTGTCTCTAGCTGTCGTGAACGAACGAAATAATTATCAGTACGAGTAGGGAATTGCAAGATCACATCCAGCAAAGTTCTTTTTCCCCACGATCAACTGCTACAGGCAAGAGCGGGATCTAGTTTGTTTGGTAATCTCGACTCCAAGCACTGGCTAGTTGTGACCAGGGAGTAGTAAAATACATTTTACTACTCCCTGGTTGTGACCAAGGACCCCATGCAGTGCACATGCCGACCCTTGGACCTGAAGCCCCGGATACATGCGCCGAAAATAACCAAGAGTGCATCCATGAGACCATGTACCCTTGGTTGCCATTCTGCATGAAGGTGCATGTCTTGTTTTACATAGTTCGGTGACTCTACAACCAAGCCATTCAAGTAATTACTAGTAAGATTTGATTTGCGACTGTTCACCTTTCACCACATATATGCATTGTGGTTAGCTTTCCCAGCTGAATTGAACAATTATAAAATTAGAGACTTGACTGACACAACACTCCAGGGGGGGATCTGTACAAATGCCGCTGTAAGTGAAAGCTACATTAAACATCAGTAATCAAGCTCCATTCCTTTTCTCCTGTTGGCATGGCTTTGGTGAAATCTGGTGTGAGACTCATGTAATTATATTGCTGCTGCACCATGCACCGACAATAGTGCTACGTCAATAATTATACTGTCCACACACACCATATTCACATGGTCAACTGAACAATCTACACCTCCAATAATTATGATGTTCCTTGGTGTCGGCAAAAGGCGAATTTACACATCGTTATGATTGATGATTGATTTTCTATGCAGCAAAGAGACCGTTTAGCTGATTTGTGGTGAATGACATAACAAATACATCATCGGACCAGTTTTTTCATACATTGCATCAATAAGAGACGATAATGGTTAGGAACTTTTGATTGGATGGATGGGCCATCTCCAAATAAGTAGGTAGCGCCGGAGAGGGCTCGATGTTACTGAGGGAAGGAGCACACATTAACACACATTCAGCACAAATTAGGCTTTGCCGGTGGTGTTACAAAACAGAGTTCAATGTTCTCTTGCGGTGTCTCAGTGGTCAATCATTGAGCGACTAATGACCAGTTGCGACACCACTATTGGTACTACAGCCCATTTTTTATGGCCTTTAAATTGTGCTGGATGTGAATGAACCAGTTCAGTGTTGGGACATGGTGATTTCGAAATCTAAAATTTCGTATGCTGACAATTGTATCTATCTTTGCCTTGCAGGCTTCGCCTGATGCGCCGTCACCATGGCTTACCGGTAGGTGTCACACTATTCCGCGTACCAGTCAGGTTATGAATCTTTAGAACTCCCCCCCCCCCCCCCCAATAGAACAATCAACATAATTATTATGACCCTGAACTTACTTGAATGATGTATTCAATCCATGGCGTGGGGTCTCTCGGAGTGGCCAGAATGTGGCTACCAAGCGCAATTATGGTGCATCATAATTATACACACGTACACGCTCTCGCAACGATGGAGCACATGTCTCAAAACCGGGCCGGGCCGCTTTTACTATAGCCAGAAACAACTAGATGGAAATTAATTATAGGGGAGACGTTGCCATGGCCTGGTAGATACATACAAACAAACAAACACACACACAGCACGCCACGTAGTGTTAGCAAGGTACATGTAGGTGTTCACGCCACGGTTGCACCTACCTTGCATGCATGGTGTGGGGTCCACCAATGGGAGGTCCTTGCTTTCAATAACATGACCAGTGCACACGAACTTTGTGAAACATGTATAACAAACCACCTGTGCCAGAAGTTTGCAGTAGCCTACTGGCCACGACATCAGTTCTCATCGATACCTACTATTCCCCGGAAAAACATCGTTTGTACCTTGTAAATAATTGTTGGAGGTGAAGTGATGGGGATGAATGCATGGCGTAGATAATGAGAAATGAAGTTGTGGGGATGGAGTCCAATGGTGACGACAATGCGACAGGTTTGAGTTGAACGCCTTCGAGGTAGGTAGATGGGACAAGTGCCAGCCATGGGGGAAGAACATCTAGTGTTTGCCATGATCCGCAATGTCTGTAATAGATACGCACTAGTCTACTACTAACACAGCATGAGACCACCAATTGATCAGCTGATCACACGATGGACATACGGATTAGATAGCTCGCTCGTGTTTTACTCCACAGACAGAGGATGTGGGCAGGTTCCTTGCGAGTACATGCGACCATGATGTTTGTTAGTTATGTGTTTAATACCCCAAATCATCAATGCACATGGCTGACCTCTGGTCTAGGAAGATTATAAGGTGTTGTCAGTGGATGGCTACCTGCTATGCTTGAAGTGTTATCGCATATACATGTACATGTATGCATTGGTTCGTCATCATTCCCTTTCCTATGGGCAGGAGTTCCTTTGCTGCAGGTCATCTTTACCGTTAGCAGTACCATTTTGGTCATCTTCTCTTAGGAACATTTAGGCATCTGCATAAAATAACTACAACAGTAGTTACTGCCTAGGTAGGTAGCTGTATTGCTCGAAATGTCCTCTTTGCCCCGGCGCGGAGCCTTTCCGCACAGCAAAGATAGGGAAGCTGTGGGTTCCGGGGCACAAGCCCAGCAACTTCCAAAAAAGACGAGGTCTTTAGTGCTCCTTCCTTCGGGCTCCTGAAAGAAGGCCAATGGCTTGTGAGAGTCACCAAAGTAAAAAATTAATAGGAGCTAGTTGATATCACATTTTACAATGTTGCAACTCGAAATTTCACGTTGTTCATCACATACGACATGTCATCATCATGAATAACGTGAAATTCCTGGTTGCAAAATAGCTTCCTCGACTTTGTGGTCCCAGGCGTCTGTTTTCACTCCGGATAGCCATTGATTTGAATTAGCACTCTATAGTCTAACCTTCACTTAGTCTTGTTCAAGCTGAACCCGCTGGCGGACGGGTAAGCCAGCTCATTCATGAGGCTGAGAACCCATGGGAGATAAACCGACTTTGTTTGTATTTACGGATTCTCCACAGGCGTTAGCCTAAATCAAGGGGGTCTCGGCTCGATTATCAAATTTCCACATATTTAGTTCGCCGGACTTTAGTAGAAAGACTGGGGAGCGAATGAGAACGGAGGGGTAGATCGGAAGAAGAGGAACGGGAAGTGAACTAACCAAGTAACATTGCAGGAAGTCAACTGTCCGAAAGCAGACACTTCCTTTCTCCTGCTGTGTCTGTTGCAGAACATGGTCTTCGCAGTCATGCAGATGGTGCCGTTAATTGTTCACTGGTCACTGATTGTAGGAGCAAATGTTTCTAGTTCAGTCTTGTTTCGACTCTCACAATCCTCAGAACGTCATAAGCCCCAAAGCACACCACTGCCCAAGACGATACTATCTCTGAAGGGCAATGACATGGATCCTTTGTAGCATTGACTTGAGCAGTAATACACTCGCAACTGTATATGCCAAAGGACTTAGGTGAACGCACCCAATGCTCGGCTGATGAAAACATGTAAACTGTCTGTGACCTCTTGCGGACTACGCTCTGCCCACAACCTGAAGACTGGATCCGTGGCTTGGGTTACAGAATTGTGCGTTGGGGAACGAGTGTTTCCGCTGCTTCAAGTATGATCTTTCAAGAATGTTGCATGATAAGAGAAAGTTTCAAACACTATATTATGAACTCACTAATGCTGGCATTGGTTTCTCACAGCGTGATATTTACTCTATCTGCACCCAGGCCCTGGAAGTTGTAACTTCTCACAGGCACCTGGGAATCGTTCTTGACTCGAAGCTATCATGGTCCGAACATGCTGACCATATTTGCCTTAAAGCATCCAGAATTTTAGGAACTCTGAAGCCTCACTGCCGTTATCTGCCTCACGACTGTAGATCTCTGTTTTTCTCTTTGTATATTTGTCCGATCTTTGACTACTGTGACGTAGCGTGGTGTGGGTTATCAACCACGATATCAGACAAGCTCGAAGTTTGCCAACGAAAATTATTAAAAATGCTATTTTGCTTGCCCCGTGATTTCTCCTCTGCACAACTCTATGTTCTCGCTCGTGTTTGCCCCCTTTCTATTCGACGCAGTCTCCACAGCAACATGCTAATTCAAAAGATAAAACTCGAGAAAGTACCAAGGCATCTTTTTCCCTATGACTGGTTTGTGCGGAGCCGTTCAACCAGGGCACAAGTCTCGCTACCTGTAGCTCGCACTGTCCAGTTTACAAAATCCCCTTTGTTTCATTCCTATTCTGACTGGCTCAAGCTATCAAGCCTCGCCCACCACTGCCACAGCATGTCTCAGTTTCGCCAAGTTGTTTGTACTGAGTTGCGTTTTCCTGCAGCACTCACGCGTGTTTAGCTAAACAATGTAATTTCCGGCTATCTCACTTAATTGGCTGAGCTTTGTTTTCCTCCCTGTTCCTTTCTTGGCTGAGCTTTGTTTTCCTCCCTGTTCCTTTCTTTCTATTGTTTTCTTGTTTTCTTTTGTACTTTTACCATGGCTGGTTATCGCCCTCATCTCTGGGGTTGCTCCCCACATTAGCA